TGAATTTAAAATGGTTTATCCTCTTTATAGGATCCTACTTTAGTACATCTCAGATTCAGTTTTTCAGGCTCAACTGTGTAGTTCAGACTTGACTCAACTTTCATCATTCTGTCAGCATCAACTGTGAAGGCTGGGCTCAATTTAAACTTAATGCAAACATAACCATTTTCATGAAATAAGCTGTAAGTCCTCAAACACTCTACACAGTATGGATCAAGGGCAAAGTGGCAAATCCTGATTGAAGATATTCACCTACACTCATTAAGTATATACTATAACATAGAAAACGTTATCTGTAGACTACTTGAAAAATCCTTCGTAAGAGAATCCTTAACAGCTTAATGTTATTTGGTGGTATTTGCCACTTTTCCACGCTTTATATTGCTGCATGTCTTCAGCAGAGGCAGTACTGTTTAAGGATGTTGTAGCTGTTCTCCACCAGCTGAGGGCAGCACAAAACAATCTGAAATGAGACGCTGAAATGAGAATGGAATGAGGAAAAGCAGAGTCAAACAGGTGTTGTATCTGAGCGTTTGTGAACATGTATGTATGCAGAAGGTAATGGGATTTTTCTTATTACAGTGAACTCAATTTAATGTTCAGAGCAGAAATACTCTCCTGCACTTTAAAATACGTTATCACGGATGTACTATAATATGCAGATAATGGGCCCTAATGAGAATAAATGTGTACCTGACAGTTTATTGTAGTGGAACCCTACAGAGCGTTTTTAGTAGCTGAATGGTTGCACTCCATCTAACAACCCCTGTTGCACGTCATACCCCTCTTTCTCCACAGTTCCTGTCTGCCTGTCCACCTGTCACAATCAAATAAAAAATACAATTGTAAAAAATGACAATAAACAAGACTTAATCCATCACAAAACAGGTCACAAATATTGTGGATGACTTACTTTTTAATGGATTTATCTCTTCAACAGCTGAATTTTGTCAGCAAATGAATTTCTGTGTATTTTCCAGAAGGCAAGTGATTAAACTGTCCTTCCTGAAGAGGAAGATGAAAACGCTAAAGCAAACTACGCTGGAGGAGGATATACACTAGCAGTATTTTTTTAAAACTTACAATTACAAGTATCCATATTAATACTCATTTATAACTCATCTATAATGCATTTACTAATTTCTAACACTTCAACCAACTTATTACAACCTTCTATAATGTATGTATGTCTTCTTAGTGGTACTGTGTTTTTTGTCTCCAAATTTCAGCTAGAGCACACCAACCACGACACCAAGGTTCAGCCTTTATGAACACAAGGGAGGCAAGATATTAAAGTTCCTGGCAAGGGCCAAAAAACAATCATTTTGATGGTCATTTCAACTGATATTTTTAATTTCATTGCAGTAGCACGGTGCACTGTGTCGTGTTTCCACCAGTGGAGTTGACCTACTAAAACACTGATGCTTGGCGTTTCCAGGTGTTTGCTGTCACTCAAAGAGATGAGCACAGATTACTTTACGTCAGTGTCTGTTCTATGGAAAAACATTGCCAAATGTTTCCTATATTTCTTGCACAGCTGGTGTCTCCTTGAAGCCAAATTTGATAATATGATATATTATACCAATATACATTGGTGCATAATTTAGATATTGCTTCCTATACTGATGACATATTTGTAAGCGATACAGACCATATATTTGCACACCTTCCTAGGGGAACACTGCAGAAACTGACCCGACTTTAGACTTAAGATGTATAATGGGGTCACTGAAGGCTAAGCTCTTTAAGGAAATATAAGAGCTGACCAAAAAAATTCCCAGTTGTATCTTTATATTCTAAACCAGTCCTGCAATTAAGAAACCCCTTCCGTGACACTTGTAGCTATGAGATTACGGAGAAATTTCTGGAAAGGGAGGTCACAATCTCATGTTTATGATGTTAAAGAATGATGGGGAATAAAAACAAGTGCTGAGCTCCTGTCATACTGTGTCAACGTGTGTGTTTAAACCTAATTTCCTAAAGATGAATTTAGTTAAGAAGTGCTTTAAACCTGAGCAGGAGCTTCCAAACAGCACACAGTTGCTTTCATTTCTCTTATTGGTGACACACTGGGAATTTCCCACAAGCTGCAGGTAGTGATTCATTTTATGCACAACAAAGTAATCACTGAGCTCCTGATAAGAGCCATCCAACATGCATGTCATGGTTGGTGGAGTGATAATGCAGTATGCTTAGAGCACCCTTTCTGCTTCTCACCTCCACTATGGATCTGAAAATCAGGTATATCTGAGTTCAGTAGCTGGAACCTTTCTTTACCCACCAGATCTCTTTTTACAGCACAACCTAGTATTTTCAACACGTGCCTTTTCAATTTCATACCTCCTTGTCAAGGAAATGAAACTGTGTGAACTATGAGATCATTTTCAGTGGACTTGAGTTGCACTCATACGTATATGTGCAGGTGTAATAAACTCACTGAAGGAGGATTCAGCAACTTGACTGTGATTTCATGGTACATTTCATGTTATTTAGTGAATCACTTCCAGGAATGTCGTATATATATCATAATATCATGGGTATATATATATATATATATATATATATATATATATATATATATATATATACACATATACATACCCATGACTGGATGTAGCTTTTTGTGACCCCCTGTAACATACATCCAAATGATAACATGGAGTTACATTATGATATCATAATGCAATAACACAGCATTTATCTGTACTGAGCTGCGACCTATTCTTGGTATCCAGCGATGTGCTTAAAAATGTCCTGGTTAGATAACATCTGCATGTACTTTGAAACTCTCTAATCTGAAGATAGAACAACAATAAAGATAGCAGGCTTATTAAAAGTACTGATAATAGCTGGCTCGCTGCCATAGATAAGTGGATTTTAATGCAACAAACACACTTAAAGGCAAGTGCTTCAAAGATTGAGGGATAGTGATCAGGTAATGTTCGTTCAAGTGCAATGAATCAATCTGGCTTGGTCCTTCATAAATCAGTTAAGCCATAACTCACACTGGCTCCTCAAGAATTCATTTAAATAACCTTAAACCTTTTCCTGACATACTATAACCTTATATATGAGGATTTCTGAACATTAGAAATTCTTGAATTTTTTTCAATAAAGAGACTCTGAAAAGCCCCCATGAGCTGTAAAATGTATGCCTGTTTTAAAAATCAAACCCTTCAGAGCTGCTTCAGAGGGTCTGTTTTATTCACAGTATATTCACATTATATGCAATGCCTCACACATAATCAGAAAAGATGAGAAATAAACAAATGGGTCATTCCCATCTTTAGAGTTTATACAGAAAACGACTCTCTAAGGTCTCAGCTGTGTGCCATATAAAGCCTAGCTCTAAATCTGACTTGGGACGTTTGTGTTTGTGTTGTTGTTGTGTCTCCCTTTCTGTCCTTCCACACATTCATGTCCCTCCCCACTTTGAAACTTTTGAACAGTTTAGTAAAGGCAACAACATCCCAGAGAAGAGTAACTTAAAAAAATAATAATAATTAAAGAAAATATATCACACCTCTGTTGACTTTGAACTGTCTGACAAAGGTAAAAATGTTAAAAAAGAAAATCATCTGAAGAGAAAAGATCCACACATGAAGCAGAGTCTCTTTCCTCAGAGGTGTAAAAATACTTTGAAGTTGGATTGTGTTGATGATATTCATTCTGAAAACTGGAAGACAGACTGTTCATTCTACTTTTTCCTGTACTGAAGAGGAGTATAATAGCTCTGCCAGTGAAAGAATCTCTTCTCCAGTCCCCACTGTGATAATAGTTAGATACCTCTTTGCAAGTGTGCATGTTCCTTTTGTGTAACTGCAGGACATATTACGTAATTTCTCTGCTTTATGGTGCGTATGCTTAGAAATAGCATGAAACAGACGCCCCTAATTACAGCAATAAAGATAAGAAACGGTGAGGCACAGTGAGGTCTGCTATAGAAAAGCAAAAAAAAAAAAAAATGTTATTGTTCATCTTCAGCAATAAATGGAAACTGCACACCAGTAGACACAAACAAACTGTGTTGTTTTCTCAAAAAAGTCCACTTTTTGACCAATTTTGAGAAAATCACAATTGAATTTCGAGTGTGTAAGTTTGGCAGACTCACTAAAAAGTGTGAAAGGGCAGTTGTTCCCAACTTTTATTGATTGAGTCTCTTTTAAAACAAAGCAATGTCTCCTTGCAATCCCTCATCATTGTTTATGGCCAGTTGAACCAAGTGATCTTCTGGACTCTTTTAGAGTAATTCACTAGAAAAACAAGAAAGAATAGAGGAAAGTTTATTCTTATACTAACAACACTATACAGTAGCTCAGTAGCTAATGTCAGCTTGCTAACATGCTCACAGTGTTTTATTTTTAACGGGTATAATGCTGACATAAATCCATTCGATAGTTCTCAAGACATTTCACTCAAAACCACAAACGTCAACCTCATGGTGGCACCAGGAAGAGTCGGGGGATCGGAGAAGTAAGCATGCTTCATCCTCTGAGGACCATGAACGAAGATATATAAATGCAATGGCCCAAACAACCCACTGACAGACCAAGACTGCTGTCTGTATAGCCACAATGCTGACTGTGGAAAAATTGTGAAAAAAGGATTAACTTTAATGATATGATTCAATGATATTCAATAATCATGAAATATATATAGCTGGTTTGATCCAGAAGTGAACTGGTGGCTGGATAAAGGAGCAGTGAGTTTTCTGTCTGTATCACCCTGAGTAAAAATCAATTCAAATTAATTTGAGCTTTCCAGTGACAGTGACAGATGAGGTTAAAAGCATGACTCTCTCCACCTTGTGCTTTTGAAAGGATTAAAGAAGAACAACTCTAAATCAACCCTGTCCAACAAAAAATGAATGTGAAACCACACAGGAAATCAGTCCTGACTTGTCCTGATGACATCAAAGGTCACTCTAAACTACCTGTGAGTAATTAATTCATCAGCCAGTCTTTCTTTTGTGCCTATTGGCTGTGAGCGGTCTGACAAACACTGGGTTGGACAGTGATCAGCTGGGATCGGGGGATGCATTTGAGTGATATGGCATTTCAACTTTGTCCCTTGCAACAGACTCAGGCATTCCCCCTTAGACAGAGACAGAGCCGCTGAGAGGAACGTATTGATCGGACTGTGTATTTATATTCCTGCTGGACAGTTTCACTGTAATTTCATCAGCTGCTGCTTTAATGTTGGAATTATGACACTGACGACAGACAAGGTAAGACACATTTGTAATGAGCTCACTGTGCACAGCTGTTGGTTTGTGTGTAAGAGAATGATTAAGACTGAACGCGCTTAAAGACAAATACCAGTTTTAAAGAAGATCATAGTGGATGTGTATTAGTTTAAGCAGTCTTTGTCAAGGGTAAGTGTTGGATTGAGCAACTTGAGTTTGAAAAAAAAAACCCAACTGAAGGAGTCATATTCCTGAAAAACAAACAGGCAAAAAAAGTTTTCCTTTTGAGGAACGAGGACATTAAACCCATCACTCAGAGTGGTTCTTCGTTTCAGGTGCATGGTGGGATGGACCTCGCTGACCTCCTGCTCACTAACACAAATGAAACCACCAGTTGCCACAGCAACCAACCGTGGACTATCACAATTCACGACGTGAGTACGGTGGTCATTCAGGACATTTTGCTCCTAAGCAGAGTCACTCAGGGGACGACATTATCTCAACCAGACATGTATTGAATCTCATTAGAAGAAAAAAATCAGACTACTGAGTGCTATCTGTATTCTCAACCAAGCTCATATGTTATTGAGCTGCACCTTAGGAGATACAGGAGCTCATTTACAGTTTCACTGTGTTCTCCTATATGTCTGCATCTGTGACGGACAGCGGCAAGGCCATGGCAGGCAAATGAGATCACGGAATTGAGTCGGTGTGTTTATGTTCTTGCCTGTGATCGTGTGTCGGAATATGATTATCTGATTAGAAGACGGGATGATGTATACATACCCTCCTCCCCGACAGACCCTGAGCCCCGAGGGAAGTACTGCTGATGACTTCTTAGACGCCCTGCTGGGTGGGAGCGACTCCTCCTCGACTACAGCATCCCCCCTGTGGTCACCCTGCACCACTGACAGTGGCATCCAGGAGGACCCCCCGGCAGATCCCACAGAGAGCCTTCATCCACCCTCCTGCACGGCTTTTCCAGGATTGGACACGCAGTCTCTCCCTCACCCTCCACCTTTGGAGAGTCAGCTACCACCAAACCAAAAAACGTCTTATGTTTCTATAGATCTAGGTAAGATTAGATGTACAGTTGAAAGGGAAGTTATGATGTTAAACACTGGCTTTATACTTGCAGCTACAGAGTGATGTGTGAAATAGTAGATTGTTAAAATACTGAACACAAATTTCATGTTAAGACACATAAACCCTAGACAGGTGAACCACAGCACTGGACAGTCAGCTATAAAACGAGATGTGGTGTGAGATATATCCTTTTGTACCCTCTGTTGCAGAATGATGAGAGCTATTGACTGAGCATTTTGACAGTTAAGGGCCCTTTTAAGGGGCAGATAATTTAGTTTTCCCATTTCTGAGTGTTTGTTAAGGATAAAAGCTTGTGCATTTGTTGTTCATCGCATGAGGAAATTGTCTTTTGAGAGCAGATTTTGAATAATAGTCCCTTTTCACATTGCTGATTATTGACCCCTCAGTGCTAATAATACTTTTAAATTGACTGAGTAAACCCAATCTGCGACAACACAAAGATATCAAACACATAGAAAAGTGTGACATATATTTTGTAGAGTGTTTTGCAAAGAGCATCGGGGGGCAGCAGTCAATTAAAGACAGGCAGCAACCTTAACATTTTGTGTTTTCTTTGAATGGCATTCAGAGGGAATTTTGTGAATCATCACATGCTGCTTTACTGGTTCAATCTGCAGGCTGGGAGTCAGATGACCTACAAGAGCAGTTTGGCTTTGCATACTACCTCACTACAAACCAAACCTCCCCTCTGTCGTCCACTCAGGCTCTCACAGTGAAGGATCTGCTGCTATCCAACCTGGGACAGACGGTAAGGAGAGAAGAGTTGAATATCTCTGTGAAAGAATGACAGTTTGTGAAGCTTTCTAAACATTGGGGATGTTAAATAAAATTCAGTCTCAGTGTTCTGAACTGTACGACCCTCTGCTTCTCTGTATAATTTACCCAGATACTTTTTTGTGGTAACCTCTGAGAGCAAGAGATCAACCCTTTGCACCACATAAACAGAATCTTAAGCATTTTATGAACTGGTACAGTGCCGTCTTTGGGTAAACTGCCCAGTGAGAGACTTAAACTGGAAAATTCTGTCCATCTGGTTCACAGGCACAGCAAATCCCTCAGCATTCCCTGCAGGAGCTTGTACTTAATGAGGATGAGAAAAAGCTTCTGGCTAAAGAAGGGGTGAACTTACCCAACAAACTGCCCCTGACCAAGGTACACACTTACACTTACACACTTGCATGTATGTAGGGCAGATGTCTTCACACACACACACAAACACAGCTACAAGTCTAAATCTGTATCCCCAGTTACACTACCTCTGCCAGTTGCCCCCCTCCCCTCCAACCCAGTTTCCTATCACTTACCCTTTTCTTCCTCATTCTTTCTCGACTCATTCCTCCCACGTGTTTCATCTCCCTGACAAGTTTGAAGAGAGGGTTTTGAAGAAGATCCGGCGAAAAATCCGCAACAAGCACTCAGCTCAAGAAAGTCGGAAGAAGAAAAGGGAATACGTTGATAGTCTGGAGGGAAGGTAAGAGCTCAGCATCCTCACTCAACACGACATTATCTCTGCACACCTTCCCTTAGAAAATTAAACTTTTATCTGTACTCATTTGTTGTGCTCTGAAGCACTCTATAATTAGCCTATTCTCTCATACACTTAATTAGCTTTAATAAACTGATTGCATGGGTGGAATGGGAACATTTTTCAAGAAGTAAATCTCCACTTTACTATTTCATATCATTGTTGTTAAAGTCTTTTCAACTTGCCGATACCTGGTGTTTATCAGGTGTTTTCTTGAAAAAGCTCCTAAGGCTCCCAGGAAATTCACAGGAGCAGTTTGTTTGGAATAAAAAGACAAAGAGCTGAGTTGTGGTAGCTGTCATGGCTGACCAAACAAAGAAACATCAGATTCTCACAGAAAGTCAAACCTTTTCAAGTGAAAAAGATTTCACAGAGCTGAACAAAAGCTAATTGATATCTGGGGAATTACGCACCAAAAACACCACAGAAATAACAGAGTTCTCACTGTAGTTGCTAAAATCAAAACACAAGAACCTTGCAGATTTTTTACTTCCACTGATACTGTTAATTACATTTGAGGAACGCTGAGAGTTTTTAGCAGACACTTCCACGTGAGAAACCTCCTACTAGGACAAAAGTGCTAATTTTTCAAGCATAAGAAATGTATTATCAGGTTATTAAGATGGTATTGTAAATTACTATGAGAGTATGATGAGCAAAAGGGGGGACGCTGAGGATGCTGTGTAGACGCAACATTTCACAATAGAGAGGCTGAGGTTTTTGTCAGGATGGAGCTTAGTTTAGTCCTCCTCCACCTCCTCTCCCTCCAGGCTGTGCAGAATGAGCCCTATCACATAGCCAGCCATTGTCACCGATTTGTTAATCCTGCCTGCCTCCCACATGTTGGCTCATCCGCCTCATCACACCGACGCAAACAATGTGGAGTGGTAGAACTTGTAATTTGATTCATTTATTGAAAGACTCCTCAAAAAAGGGCAGAGCAGCAGTTCCCTCACATGAATCTGTGTGTCAGACCCCTCCAAGTTTATTCTTCATCAGCCTCCTCCAGGCATTGCTTGATCTCACTGTTGCTGAGCCTCAGATAATTATCCTGTGCACCACTGGAGTCTAAAACATGCCATCATTGATTCATCTCAGAAGAGGGGAGCCATATGGGACTGTGGGGAAGATAGGTAGATAGTTTTGTAAAAAATGGACAAGCTGTGACCAGTCTGCAGTAACCAGTGTTTTCCACCTGAATCAATAAACACATATTTTAAATTTGCTTCTACCTCCTGTCAAATGCAAGACGGATTATGTGCTCACAGCAGGTCCTCAAAATCAACAAACAAACCTTTGTGCGTGTACCCATACTTAAAAAAAATTAATTAATTATCGAATAGCAGCTTTAAATATCTAACAGTGTTTCATCAACATCTCATCGAAGCTTGAGCTCTGTTGCCTCGAGACAACAAAAGTTTCATGATGGGTGAGATTATCAGCAAAGAGCAGAGTCAGCATTTGTTGGTAATTAAGTCAGCCGCAAGCAGAGTGTATCAACAGGGTATCTATCAGTCATGGTTCAGCTCAGTCACAGGGCCATAATGGAGGGTGAGTCATAGTGAGTAAAAGAGACAAGGGAGACAGCAGAAGAAGAAGGGGGGTGAGATAACACTCAGCAGGCGGATATTGGCAAAGAGAGAAACGAAGGGGAGACAATGCAACATCAGAACACAGTGTTATTTGATACCCTTCTTTCCTAATTTTAGCTATATACCTCGTCTCTGTCTCTTTCTGTAGGATGTCTGCATGCAGCGCGAACAACCTCAAGCTGCAGAGGAAGATCCAGCAGTTGGAGGAGAACAACAAGTGAGTCCTCAGATGAACCAACAAGGGCTGCCACTCATGATTACTGTCATTATTGATTGATCTCTTTGGTCCCAAAAGCCAAGGCGAGATCTTCAAATAATAACAATAATAGAGTTTATTTGTGTAGCACCGTTTCATATTTACAAAAGGCTTCACAAGAGAAAAATCGAATGAAATTACAGTAAAATAAAAGCATTATAAAAACAACATAAAGTATACAATAAGATATTAGAAATAGTAAGTACGTTTTTAAAAAAAATGATAAAAGCAACAAATTATAACATTTTAGAGGCTGGAATGATTGAATATTGTCATTCTTCGTTAAATAATGATTAATTTTTAAATAAATGATGTTGATTGACTAAAGGATTAATCAATTAATCAGTTGACCATTTCCTCAGCCCTGCCCCGCTTACTTAATACTGTACATACTCGTTCTTGTTCCCAAACAGTATGTTTCATTTTTAACATTTTAAGAGAAAAAGCTTTTAGGATGAGGATTGACAGATGTGTTTGGGGTTGCTGAATGTGAACTTCCCCAAAACCAGTAAAGAGCGGGACAGAACTGCCAATGTTAGCTTAAATTCCACACGGCGAGGAAATACTAGCTACACGGTGAATGTCCTAATCGTGAACAGGCCTATAACCCCACAAACTAATGCCGTTAGTGATGTGCTCCTTGGCTTTAGATTGCAATTTATGTTAGAGCAGACAAACACACTGTGTACTCCATCACATACACATTTGTTCTTGTGTTCTTGGGTTTTGCAAAGGCTGAAAAAGATGCTCTTTAAATGTTGAGTATTGAGCTTACTGTGGACAACAATGCAACCTGTGGAGAAAGCCAACGTAAGATGTTGGCGGATTGATTGAAAGTACTGATAGTACCAAGTCTAAGCTCTTGAGCGAGCTGCTGTAAAAACAGTACCACAAATGCAGCTCAAGTCTTTCAATCTTTGCAGTTCCTGTTATGGACTCAATTTTGGGCATAATCTCAAACACAGGAAATAAACCCAACAAAATACCCCTTAAAGTGGTGCCTTGAATATTTTAATGTCTCAGATTTTATTTATCATTTCATCTTACTCTTGGATTTGTCTTCATGTGGCTAAATTGTTTGTATGAGTCATGTCTTGTTCTCTCAGCGTTTCATTGATCTTTTCTGATTTTGTCCCCGGGCCCCTCCCTCTCCAGATGAACACCCCGGTTAAGAAAACTTTCTACTTGTCAAAAACTAGGGGTGAGGAGGCTCAGTGTAAAATTACCAGAATACAAAGCCCATCAAATTTTAAAACCTCACACAGCTTTCTCTGACTTTTCTTCCTCTTCATTCTCATTATGCTGCTTTCTTCTTGATGCTGGCAGAGTGCTGCGGTGACTTGAAATAAAACCTGGGAAGAGGGTTTTGCGTACATACTCTTCCCCGCCGTGTGTTGTTCTTGTTTTTGTTGTTTTAGTTGCCAGTGATCATAGACGCTTAAAAAATGATGCCTATGTCTCGAGGAACTCATGTGAAAATTTTACAGTCTCTTTCATCTTCCGTTGGTATTTGTATTGCAGTGCTCTATTGGAGCAGCTAAGCCGGCTACAGGCTCTCCTTCCCAACAGCTCCAGCAAAGCAACACACAGAGGGACCTGCATCCTGGTGAGATATATAACACATTAATTTACACCATTGAGAATTTTATCTGACAGCATAATCTGTATCAACTAAATGATAGATGTAGGTCAGTGCCAGAGCACATCATTAAAACCCTCTGCCTGTGCTCTTGACTACTGTTGTGTTTACCGTTAAGATTTTAATCGAGTCAAATGTTTGAATAGCACCTGCACTCATCTTTTGTGCAAAATTGCATGTAGATTATGCCTAATAACTCCCTTTCTTCTTTCCCCCGTTCTTTCTGTTATTTCCTTCTGCCCTCTGTGTGTTCTGTGCTTGGCCTCTTTTTGTCCTGCTATCTGTATTTATGTCCAGGTTTTGCTCCTCTCCTTCTCCCTGCTCATTTCCTCACATCTTCAGCCAGAACCTTACAGCCAACTCAGCCGGGGAGAGTACACACAGACTAAAGGTCTGTAGACACACACACGCTCACATTTTGTCTCTTTCTAACACAAACACAGACACACACTCACTCCTGTCCACTACGTCTCTGCCCCACAGTGCCATCCCGCTCCCTGCAGTCAATGGATGAAGTGCAAGACGCCCCCCCTCTTCCTCTCCTCTCCATCTCCAGGGGCTTTGAGGATCTGTACAGCCTGACGGAGAAGCTCTGACACCGGACAGGTCTCCCAATGCTAGACGTCCCAATCTTTCACCACACCAGGATGACTGGCACCGGGACAATCATGTTCTCGGTGCCCCCAGGAAGAAAGACGTAGCAAAGGAATGCAGTCTTGCTTGCAAGTGCAGCATCCAAATGAACAGTTTGATTGCTTTTCAGCATCTGTTTCTCACTGCAGAGACTGAGTGAAGTGTTATGGTGTGTTTGCCATCCGTTCCACAACACAAACAGCTAATTAAAAGATTGTTTCTAACTGAAATTCACTGACTCAGATGGAGGTCGGTGAGGAGGTCATCCAAACAGATTTTTTTTTGCTTTGGAAAACAGTGCCTGTGGGACTTGGTGGAGCATGTATTATATTGCTGACATACTTGTGCAAGATGTAGGCATGTGCAATCTGTAAAACAACACAAATGTATATTCACTGCTGTATTTTATTATTTACTTTTAATGTATATGTTGAAAAACTTTAACAAAAATGATTTGAGTTGTATTTTGTAAGAGTTCAGTGCAATACTGCCACAGCACACTGGAATTAATAAGCCTACTCCAGTGAATTTTGGAAACACCTTAATAGTTTTATTTCTTTCAGTTATGCCATATGTCCAATTTGCATCACAAAAATAATGAGGCGATTTTGGAAATTACTTCGTAAGCAAAAGCTGCTGGATGATTTCTCACTTCATTAAAAAAAAAACCCTCTAATATGTATATATATAATATGTATATATATAATATGCTTCACTTCCATGCCAGCTGCCAATATAACAAAGTAGGCTTCAGTTGTTAAAAATAGTGGATATATCAAAAGTCTTTGTTGTTTTTATATCTGTAGAAATATAATTATTGGCTGGTCACATATCTATGCATGCTATAAAGTACCCTTTTCAAGTGGGGTCAAAACATTTTTTGCAAAACCAGCTATTATTTGATGCATTTGGGAGATAATGACTGAAGCTGCCATATTATGAGTATGTGTATATGCCGGTGTGGCGGTTCACATAATATTCTGTCCAGAACAAAAACATCCATAATACATCATAATTCAGATTCTATTTTACAGGATCAGCTGTAAATATATGACATAATTTGTAGCTCAAAACAAAAAGCGAAGAGGCAACAATAGTTCATCTCTGTCCGTATTCAGCAGCTCACATACAGTACATGTAGTGTACTATATTTTATTAGTTCACTGCCTTCGCAACCAAAGATTGAGGGCAACAACGAGGTCACGTGTGGATTTATTTTTGAACTGCTGATGTTCCAGCAGCCTCTTCTCACTGTAATAAGGTGAACTCATTGTATTATAGTGTATGTCTGAAATTCTTACTGGAATACAGTTTGCAGAGAGGGCTGCAGCTGACTTTGAGACAATGAGGTCATGTTCAACTTTGGAGGATTTACAGTATGACATGAATACACATTTGCATTCTATTATTGCACACATATCACACACAGGTTTTTCAAAGCTGATTCTAAAGTTTTTTAGATAAAACCTGAGAGTCTACAGCCTTGCTAGCAACTCTGACATTGGAGCTTAATTGCTATCATCAGCATGCTAACATGCTCACAATGACAATGTTGGCATGCTAATGTTTAGCAGATATATTGTTTATCATGCTCACCATCTTAGTTAAGTGTGTTACCTTACTAACATTTGCTAATTAACACGTAACAGAAAGTACTGCTGAGGCTGATGGAGATAGATCAATAGTTTTGTATTAAAAGTATTTAATCATAAATCAAAGTGCTGGACAAATTTAAATTCTGATCTGATTGTAATGCTAGATGATAAATCACAGGCTCACCAAAGTCAGTAGGCTTCATCTTCTTCTTTTTAAGACAATCCATCTAATAGTTGTTGAGATATTACACTCTGGACCAAAGTGGTGTACCAACTGAACAACCAACATTGCCATCCCTATAGCCAGGCCACTAGAGTGTCTAAAAACTCAATAAATTAAAGGAATTTAGTTCTCTACACGAGAGTCAAACACCTGGCACCGTGCCATAATATATGGAAGCTGGAAGAATCCCATTTTGTCTGCTAAGATAGTCTTAAAACACATAGGAGGGCCCTCTCAGTGCAGCCTATTATTCATCGCCAATTGAAGAAAATTTGAACAGCCTGAGGTTTTCTTTCCAGCACTGAAGCCAGGCTGACAGAGAGTCACAGCTCTATGGAGCCATGTGTTTCTTTAATGATAAAATGATTACTATTAGAGACAAATTTCACCACCTCCTTCCCTCAGCAGGAACCGATTTAATCCTCAAACACAGGAAAAGCTGTAAAACCTGATATGTACTCAGACCTTCACCAACTGACTTCAGTGATTTCTTCATCTAAGCCATCGGCCTGTCTCCTAAATCCCCTTCTATTCACTTTATAACTTAAGGCAACATTAGCAATCGCTCCACTAACTTTAATTGTTATGCGGTTTATGCCCAATTATATCTATTGATGAAGCCAGATGAAGCAAATCAGTTAGCGCAATTACAATAATGCCATAAGATCATAAAAACCTGAATGACTTTCAATGTTCTGATGTGAAACTAAGACAAAACTGAAGTTATTGTGCTTAAACCTCCCTTTTCTGATCATGAAATATCCTTTAACTTTCACAAAAAACAAACTTCAGGGGCTGCCTTTTTTCAGCTACATAACATTGTAAAAAATCAGGCACATCCCATCACAAAAATGTGCAGAAAAGCTAGTCCATGCATTTGTTACTTCTAGGCTGGATTATTGCTGTTCCTTATGATCATGTTGGGGGGGAATAACATGTAGCAAAGGGCCACAGGTCGGACTCAAACCCATAGCCTCTGCAGCAAGGACTTAGCCTTAGTACATGGCGCACAGGTGAGCTACCCAGGCACCCTGGGTTGAACATGTTATTCTAGTCTGTCTCATTCATTGATCCTGACTTCTGTGTTGTTCAGTAGTGTCTGTGCTGCTGAGAATACACCTCCAGACTATATAACAAAATATTTGACATGACTATAAATTACTAAAGCGTGAGGGATTGAGTAAGGGCCATCTCCCCTGTTAGAATTGAACACTGGCTGAAAATAAGATACAGCAGGTAAATGTGTAACTAGAATATTACATTTTGTGATTTTATTTTATACTCTGAAAGTTCTAGTTTAATCAAAAATGTCTTACGAGGGTGGGGTTCTTTTGGGTAAATGACCTCCGTTCTAAAACCCAGGCTGCAGCTTAATTTGCAGAATAGGTGTCATTTACATTTAACAGTCCTCTCTGATTGCTGTTTGTTCAAGCTGCCATGAGAACTGAGGCGGTGGACAAAAACTTTACAATTTTAAAACCAAATTATTTTAGCAAAGCCAAACCAAAAGTACACTATTCACATGAATTATCCATCAGACTGCTTTAAGCACGGTAGTGTAAGAAAGGGTTATACGATACGTAGAAACTCTGAATCAGAATATCAATCATGTCAGAGTTCAGCGAAGGCACTGCTACCTGAAGGGTAAAAAACAGACCACAGGAGGAAAAGATCATTAATTCAGATGTTCTTGGAAGCTGAGTTTATTCATTTGTGGTTTCATGATTTTTTGAGAAAATAATTAATTCTGAATAATTCTGAAATCATCAGACATCATTATTCCTTTGATATGGTATTACTAGTGTACAACCATCAGGAAGAAGACTCCGTGTGCCAAAGTGCAAATCAAATAGACTGAAGTTATCTTTCGTCCTGACTTCTATCAAGCTGCTGAACTCCGAAACTAAATCATAGGGCAATGTGCAATAAACAAACCAGCACCGTAGCAATTTAATTTCTTATAGTTTCTTAGTCTCCTTTTAAGCTGCCACATTGTCAGTGTTAAAATATAGTGTCTTCCATGTTTTGAGATGTTTTTATGTTGATTTTGTAATTGTTTTTTGATGTTTATCTGTTATTGAGGTATGCTTGTTTCTGTGAAGCAACAAACTGTAGCACTGTGCCCAAGACAAATTTCCCCTCAGAGACAATAAAGTTTATTCTATTTAATTCTATTCTATTCTAACCTTGAGTGAGAAGATTCTGGATATAGAGGATATTTGAGATATTCAAAGATTATTTCTTTCCCTTTATGGAATTTCTTAATATTTTTTCCCACACTTTCTAATTTCTAGTAATAACATTGGTTGTATGAAGAGCAGGGGGAGCCGTTCACCGTGAGAGTTCAAATCACTTAGATGCTCTGACATCATCAATGACAGTATTCGCACATTCTTTTTTTCCTAAGTACCGAGAGAAACAAAGAAGATGGAAGAAAACTAAATTAGACATATTTTAAAACTTCAACAGAATGCTAATAGACAGCTTCACACAGAGCTTCAGGGTTGGACTCCAACCATATCTGCATTCCCATCCATCTCAATATTGGTAAAACAATAAAGGAAAAAAGAACAACATATTAGTGTCCTTTTCATCTGGCTGCTTCTGAAACTAGACAAAGAAACACGGATGACAAGAAAAAGCCTTGTAGCAAACTGATGAGGCATTGCAGTTTGCTTAGGGGACCTGTTGGAAAAATGCAGATGAAGGATTCTGAGTGAATTGTTTTATAAGTCACAGATTTTAAGTAAATCCAGTCTAGTCTGTCCAGCAGTGGTGTAAAAAGTTAATAATGTTAGTAACCTTAATTAACATTGGGGTCCGTAGGGACTTGGCTTGGGGACCGGAGAGTCTCTGGATAGAGTCCAGCATGGACCACAGAATGGAGTGTGGACTGGACACTGCTAAGGGGCCCTTGAGCAAGGCACCAAACCTGTAACGGCACCCAGGGCTATGTGGCAGTCCATCACTTGCATGTCTATAAGCTGTGTGTGAAAACAGGTTAAATAGTTAATCTTATCTTATCTAATCTAATCTCATCTTCTCCTAAAAGGTGAGGCTCATTCTAACTACTTTATACACTGCATGGTAGCTTAATCAATAATAATACATTTTGTACAAATCTGTAAAAAGTAACAACCAGGTACCTCAAAAGTACATTGCTTGGGTAAAAGTGCTTTTCACCACTGCTGTTGAGGCTGCTTGAGAAAATGACTTCTTTTTTATTTTTATTTTCTAGCCTTCGCCTCCTCTTTCCTTTCTCTCTAATGCACACACAGCTGGCCAAAGCAATGCATTGTGTGAATACCAACAGTGACCTATAAGAGATGCAAATCAAAAACACATCCCTCTCTCTCTCTCTCTCTCTCTCTCTCTCTCTCTCTCTCTCTCTCTTTCTCTCTCTCTCTCTCACACACACACACACACACACACACACACACAGACTGAAAGCTGTTTGAAATCTAATTTCTCATTCCTCTAATGTGCATCATTTCAGATGCGTGTGAACAAACCCTTGTAGGCTGAGGTAACCTTTCTGAAAATACCAACATCTATAATTTACCCTCACATCATATGCAGGAATATTAAATGCGATATTTGGACATAACATCACAGGTCGTGATTAGCTGGCTCCACCAAGGACGGTGGGATACTAAACAAGGATTATGTATTAGTGAGTGACTACAGACCTAATATAGTCTGCAACGCCGTTTTAATTAAAAGAAAGCAGAAACACGGTCTTAAATACACGTTTTCTGAACTATTATTATTTTTTAAAGGCCAGCAATCCATTCACCTAATAGCTATAGACTAAGACTATACAGTCTTAAGTGTTCCCACCACACAACACAAGCCTCTCTCTGTTTGTTCTCCACATTTATCATGTCCTGCGCAGATAAAAAACCTATTCAAAATATCTGCTTGTATCTTTCAATAAAAATGTGAAGTTTAAAACCAGAATTGAAGTTAGTGGAGCTCCCTTACTGTCCGGTAGACTATCTGCTGTATTAATCCTAACAGTAGAGTAATACAGAATATGGCATTCACCATGTGTGCGCCCGGACAGTGCGCCATCGAGCGGTGGAGGAGAGCCTCGGAGAGTATAAAAGCCTCCAGTTTCAGGATGCTGTCAGCATCACTGAAAGAAGAGGCAGCTGCAGCACTACACACCTCAACCTGAACGCTCCTAAGTAGGCTGGCACGGATTAATCTGCTTTTTTAATTTTTTTATTTTCATATAGACCTATTATTTCTTCCTTGTAAAAACAGTAAAATGCGAACAGAGACGCGTTTAAGTTTAGAAAACACTCGGATGAATCCTGCAACTCTGACCTAGAGCTCAGACTTCGAGCAAGACAAGGACGATGGACATTTTTGAAACCACATCTGTGCACCTACAGTCTGGAAGTTAGCCTGAAAGAGAAAGGGGAAACCTGCGGAACTTGTTTTTTTTTAAAAAAGAAGAACAAAGAAAGTCTCCCTTTCCAGAATCATGCAGAGCAACAGCAGCGCCTCCGGACCCCTGACCGCTCTGAGCGTCTGCGGAGGAGAAGAAAATGAACGCGAAATCTTCAAACTTGTCAGCCCCACAGGAGCAGCCTCCAACCTCGGAGCTTTTAACTTTTCACTTAACTGCTGGCTTCACATCCTCTCCAAGGAGTCCTCTCTAGATCTGCATGGAGACAGCGCAAACCTGGCAGTAGGTTTATTCAAGGATTTACCTTTCCTTTTTTTTTTCTTTCTTTACAAATCCAGATGGATAAAATGAATAAATGAGTCTGTCAACACATTCTGCATGAATCCCCTTGACATATGCTGAAAGAAAATGCTTGGTGGTGTTGTGTTTTTGCTTCAGTTTCCATGTGTGATCATTTAGCACCTCCAAAATGAATCCTGTTTGCTACTAAACACAAAATAAGAAAATGTTATTGAATGTGTTTGACAGGTGCGAGTTCTCATCGCGCTGGTCTACCTGGTGGTTTGCGTTCTGGGGCTTGTGGGTAACTTCCTGGCACTCTTCCTGCTCCACTCCCGCCGCCGGGGCCACCACCACTCTTCTGTCGACTGCTTTGTGATGAGCCTTGCACTGACAGACCTCCAGTTTGTCCTGACCTTGCCCTTCTGGGCCGTGGACACGGTGATGGACTTCCGCTGGCCCTTTGGCCGGGTCATGTGCAAGATCGTGAGCTCGGTCACCACCCTGAACATGTATGCCAGCGTCTTCTTCCTCACCGCCATGAGCGTGACCCGGTACCGCTCCTTGGTTACCTCTCTGAAGATGGAGAGCCCTCGGATCGCCACTGCTCGTGCAAAATGGGCCAGTTTAGCCATTTGGGTGGTGTCACTGGTGGCTACGCTGCCCCATGCTTTCTACTCCACCACAGTGCAGGTTTGTTGAACTGTGACTGAACGGGGGTCTTCCTAAGTTCCCACGGTCCTTTGTTGCTCAGATTTATATGGCACATAATAGAACTTTTTCACAGCAGCCATTTTGACATGACCACATGAACACCAATGATACTAATGAAAGGTCTGGTCCATTTAGTGTAACAGAACCTTCCCAGTAAGCCAACATGCACAATAGCAGCACCCAGATTCCGGTCTGTGGGAACATGACATGGTTCCCAAGGTGCTATGTATGTTCCCCCAGTTCTAGGGTTAGGGAACTTAGGACAGTGGGAACATAGATACGCTCCCGTCTGAACTACCATCCCTGATTTGATCTGCTTGCTTTGATCTGTACATGTTTTCTGTTTGGGTGACCAACCTCTTACGTTGTGTTTACAGGTGTCTACAGACGATGAGCTGTGCTTAGTGCGGTTCTCTGACTCCGATTCCGACCACTGGGATCCTCAAGTCCTGCTTGGACTCTATCAAACACAGAAAGTCCTCCTGGGATTTGTAGTTCCCCTGATTGTGATCTCTGTGTGCTACCTCCTCCTCCTGAGGTTCATTCTGAGCCGGCGCATCGTGGGCAGCATGATCAGCAGCAGTGTCACAGAGAGGTCAGAGTCTGAGAGAGGACGCCACCGCCGCCGCTCCAAAGTCACCCGCTCCGTCACCATCGTGGTTCTGTCGTTCTTCATCTGCTGGCTGCCCAACCAGGCTCTGACCCTCTGGGGAGTGCTGATCAAATTTGACTTGGTACCCTTCAGTAAAGCCTTCTACAACACTCAGGCCTATGCCTTCCCCCTGACTGTGTGTTTAGCTCATGCAAACAGCTGTCTCAACCCGGTGCTCTACTGCCTGATCCGAAAAGAGTACAGAGCTGGACTGAAGGCGCTTCTCCTGAGAGTGTCTCACTCAGTCCAAAATGTTCTCACTCTGGCTCTGCGAGGAAGGAGAGTGCAGGAAGCACCAGCCAGCCTGGTCATGATAAACAAAGACATCAATATGTGATTTAAAGGAAAAGTAAAAAGGAAAAGTTTGACATTTTGGGAAATACAGTTATTGAGTTTCTTGCTGAGAGTAAATGAGAAGATTGATACACTCTCCTGTTTGTACGTATGAAGCTACAGCCAGTAACAGGATAGCTTAGCTTAGCACAATGACTGAAAACAGGGGGAAACAGCTAGTCTGGCTCCAGCTAAAAGGTAAATAGATCGGCCTACTGGCACTAATAAACACATTGTATCTCATTTGTTCAATCTGTACAAAGAAGTGAGAAAATGATAAATTGCCATTTTTTGGCGGGGGATATTTCTTGGCTCTGAGTAACTTCCTAAAGTCTCAGCTATTTGCCGGGTAATGGGTTGGCTTTTGTACAGATTTAACAAGATACATGGTTTCATTGATGAGCTTTAGAGGTGCAGGTAGGCAGATTTTGTTTCCTTGAGACGGGGGTACAGCCCATTAATCTGAAACCCCAATAGTCTGAAAAATGTCCCATTGGACTGAAACCCCATTTGTCTGATGGTCCGAAAAGAAGTCCACTGCTCTGAAGGCCTGTTATTCTGAAAATACACTCGCTGGAGTTTTTTGCCCTTTATGTCTTCTTCTATTTGGACATGCAGGAAAGGACAAAGTCAGTCTGTGTGTGTCAGTGACCTTCATCAGGTTACCTTTGTCGTCATGGTCAGAACAATAAACACAACGGTCACAGTTTGGTTTTAGGCACAGAAACTATCCATTTAGGTTCAAGATCATGGTTTGGGTTAAACTAAGTGTGTTAGTTACGTTAAGTTAAGTTACATACATAAGTTAGTGATACCACATACAGTGAGTGTGTATTTTCATAACAAAGGGTCTTCTGAGCAATAGCCATTTGTTTTCAAAACAACGGGCGGTCAGAACAAAGGTATGGTACCTCAAAGCTAGCCGTTAGCTAGCCAACTGCTGGCTGTAGATTCATATTTAGCAGACAGAAATGAGAGTGGAATCAATCATCTCACCTCTTAGCATTAAAGAGCATCAGCATATTTACCGAAATGTCCTTTAATACTAAAGGAAATGCTCCTTTATGAGTTCACTTCGTGGGCCATCTATTGCAGACAAACCTGAACAGCTATCTTTTATCTTTATTATGCCCTTTTGTGAAAAACCATCTTGCCAAGATATGCTCTTTTGGAAATTATTTCAGAGGTGAATTCCAAGTACATTGTTGAAAATGATCAAACCCTCGAATGAGCCGGGTCTGAGTTACAATGTGGGCTGATTATTTATTTTTTGCACAATCAAGCAAAAATACAGTGCGATGTTTGAATAGTTCAACATGTAAAGTGATTTTTGTACTGTGAACCTCAGACACCCACACAGGCAATCAAGGGGACTATAAGCTTGTTCAATTTCCATTAGGTTGGATGTATTTAATATTTATTTGTATATTTGTTGCTAACTCAGTCAGGAGACTAGAACCTCCCTCACATTACTCTTCACATGCACTAAAACTTAACTCCAGCATATGTCATTCAGAGTAGGCAGTGTTTGACCATAGCATGAATCTATCGCTCATTTTCATGTCTCTCGGTGTCTGCCTTGCTGTACCGCTGTGAACTGTTTTGTGATTACACGTATGTAATGTGACATTAAATAAAAAACGAGAGGACAAAAGAGTTCAGGGACGTCTCTGGAAAGTTAATCTCATCTGCAGTCACCGCAGCCACAAAAACGCCAAGACGAGCAAAATGAGTCAGCCGCACAAAAGCTGCTCCACGTTTGTACCCTTTTGCAACCTTTAAAGTTTGAACATTGATAACCATCTTGAGCTGCCCGCAGATAGGCCTAGGGGCTGACATGCAAATACCACACACACCCCAACACAGTCCCTCCATTGTGTGCAAGTCTGGTAGTAATTACTTCTCCAATCAGAATCACAGATTCATTGAGCAGGTCTGTGAGGGAGGCCATGATGCCGCTTAAAAAAAGTCAGCGGGTCACCCAGGGCCCTGCACCTTCCAGCTGTGAAAAAAAACAATCAAAAGTGTGATTTGTCTTGTTCAGATTGCTGCCCAACACAAGAAAGTATTCTGTTGCCGAAACCTGTTATTGTCTTTCCCTCAGATGAGCTTGCTTCATAATTTGACCGTTTTCTCATCAAGCTGTAAACAATGGACAGAGCTACTACAGTCCATCCACTCACACCCAGACGACCTTCTTCCATTTTAGGAGGCAGTTCGCAGAAAACAAGCAACATTTGACAAGTACCAGCGTTGCAATCTTGAGTGTGCCCAGCTTGTCATCTTCAAGTACAGGAAACACTGATGAAAACCACTTGAGAAAATGCATCCGAGTGCCTATACATCCGTGTAGGGCCAGCATGGATCAGTGGTTTAAAGCAATTACAGGCTCAAGATGTTTACTTTCTTGGATGAGACGAGCTTGAATGTGTATAAAGGCATAAAAAAGGGTCGCAGTCAATCACACTTGGAGGCGACATGCGAAGCACGCAGTCAAGTCATGATACATCCTTACATCCCAGCATGCAACACTGTTTGAAAAAAAAGGCACGATTGCTACCGCTGAATAAAAGTCTATTCTTAAATACACAAGTAGATATTTCTATGTGCAGGGACTTTCTGACTGTACTATAAAATTTGTATCTCTTTGAGAGAACCGTGGATTCAAATGGGAGTTAAGAGCTTTTATTGCATTTGATTTCCAAAAGCCAACCACAATCCAATTTGTACAGAGTTCATGTTCTGTTCACGAGCTGAAATACAGTCAGAGCAGAAGGCTGCTTCAGCTGAGAAAGTGCAAACACACAGAGAGACGAGCGTGTGGCACTATTTGTCAAATGTGCGACAAAATGTAATAATTAATATAATCTAACTCAAGGACCGCTTACAGGCTTAGTCGGAGCTCTCAACCAAATCTCACAGTCGTCAGAATGAAGACCATGATTCTCCACAGAAGAGCTTTCAACTGTTTCAACAATTCAGTTAGATGTAAAAATACTGGCAAACCGGGCTACAACGGCGGCAATGGAGCTAATCCTTGGTTACAAATGTGCCTGTCAAAGTACTTCCATTAAAAGTGCTTGTTTTTGGCACTGACAGGATCAGATTGTTATTGTGTCTGACATCATTGTGGAGAGGATCCCTACAGAGATAGACCTTTTTGTTAAAGAGTAAGACCCCTTTTGTTTGATTAGAAACAGCTGTTATATCGCTATGGCATGCCAGACTCCATTCACAAAAATGTTAATTTTACCTCAGAGATAATCAAACTTTATTCAAACTGGACAGAAGCTAACTCACCAAAAGCTTCTTTGTTGTCTATTTAACTGTTCCAACAATCACCAACTCTGGTTGGAAATAAATCTATTATTAACTGATGTAGATGAGAGGAAGAGCCCTTTCAGTCACTCTACTCAAGGCTAATAGCTGCACATGGAGGGATGCAATAACATGCATGCAGAGCTTGGAAAACAACACACACACACACACACACACACACACACACACACACACACATACACACACACACAGGGAGTGTGATGTCATTCTCTATTCAGGACGCATTACCCGCCTATATCTTTACATGGCAGATAGTTGTTCTAAATCTCAGATAACCTGTAAAAACTCAAAAATACAAGTATTCACAGTTGGAGGCTTCCAGTCTGATCAGCTGGTCTCCCCCAGAGGATTGGGGTTTAAAGGCCTGGCTCAAGGGCACCACCGCTATAAGAGGCAAGCATTGCTAACATTTCCGCCACACAGATCCATGCTGCTGGTCCAGGAATCAAACCTGCGTCTGAAATTGCTGCCTTATTCTTTCTGTATGATAACTTCCTGAGATTTGTAGATATAAATTATATAGATTATATTGTTTAGGTAATACAGGTTAATGTATACATTGACCTTTGATATTAACAATTACGTTACAAACAAAAACATTTACTGCAATTTAAGCTAAATGTTTTGAGCATTTACGCTGCACTATAATTCACATTGTGTTGCAGCACAAGCAGGAAGAAGAAAAACATGCCTCTCTCAAGAGAATAATCTCCATCAGGAACTGTGGTGAATATGATTACAGTTATTAGTGATATTTCAGAGCTTGTGAAACACATGACGCATATTACAAAAAATGCAAGTGTCTTCAAAGAGCATATCCAAGGTCATGTTCTTCTTTCAAGGAGGCTGACATTTCTGATGTGCAAGCTCAAACTCAGCTCCACTTAGCAGTAACAGCTCAATTTAGAGACTTTTTGAACATCTTACTTTCCATTTACGAGTAAATTGCAGCTAATTATTTTTACTTTCTTCTTTTTTTTGCGCTCAACCACGTCCATAATGGTCTCTTCTGGCTCATGCTAACTTTCTGAACTCCTTAAGGTTGCTGTGAGTTTGGACATGAAGCCTTGTTTTTTTGGTTTATTGCACTCATCTCAAAGGATAGGATTTTATTTAATTCCTGGAGAAAGTTATGGTGATTCAGTGAATTTGATACTGGACACACATAAGAGAAAGCTTTTCCCCTCCAAAAAATTAGATTATATTTAGAGAAAATGTTTTCTTTAAGAATGATTGCTGAAATATGCGCATGACATGAGCATTTTTTAAAGGGGAAATAACGTGCTTTCAATATTGAGACATTCATTTTATGTATAAACTATTCAAAATAGTGTTTTTGTTTTCTTTTTTCAGTCTGTTCCTCCCTGTGCTCTCCATCTTTATCACATTTGCAGTACAACACCCTTGACAGTGATTCAGGTTTCTTCCTCAGGGACTTGCTCGAGCCCGCTTGTGCTGAATGAGGAGCATCTGTAAACAAACAGTCGTCATGTCGTTACACACAAGGACTCCACACTCTGGTCGCTGATTCACTGAATGACTTCCTTGCAATGCTTTGGTGTGACAGCCATGCCAGAGAATAAACTCATCTCAATCTGCAAGGTCTTTGACGCTCCATAGCAGGTTGGTCTGACCTCGTTAGCTCTATTCATTGTTCTCCCTGTCCTTAAAAGCGTCCCAGTAACTGCCAGTGAAACTCTCACACAGCATGCAGCTGCCACCGGGGTACTTCACAGCAGGGCTCATGTTAAATGCTTAATGAGCTGCGTCTGCTTTCCTCCAGACTTAACACTTTGAATTACAACTGAGGAGTTTGATTCTGGCTTCATCAAACCACAAAATCTTTGATGCAGTCTTCTCCTCTCTTTGTGCCAACTCCAGTCATGCTGTCACTGACTGGCTCCTTATGCCCACGCTGCCACGGAGTACAGACTTATGATGTGCTGCACCGACTGTTCTCCTTCCAGAAAGATCGGCCTTCGTGGCCAAAGGGGCTCTGAAGTGGGTTCTCTGACCAAGGTCCTTCTCACTGAGGTTGGGAGGATGAGCAGCTGCAGGAAGAGTCTGTCTGGTGCTATATAAAGTTTACAGTTTCTAATGATGGAGCCTTTGAAACACTAACGCATTGGAAATCGTTTGATGCTGTTCTTCAGTTCTGTGCCTCCTCGCTATTCTGAGTCGTGACTGTTACACGGTTCCTTAGAGTATATGGCTCTGAACTGCACTGTCATCCATTAGACCTTTCAGGGAGAGACAGTATGCGCTGTAATTTAGATTCTAAGTCTGTCAGCTGTCAGCTGGACATACATCAAGTTTGAGGAGACCTTTAGAGGAGAAATGGCCACTTTATCAAGTATGCTTCTCTAATAAGGGGCTGAGCCCCCATTTTTACCCCAGAACAGCCTGAATTCTTCGTGGCATGGCTTCTACAAGGTGCTGGAAACATTTCTTATTGATTCCCGTAGCTTTACACAGTTGCTTCAGATTTGTCGGCTCCACGTTCAAGCTCCTGGGGAATCTCCTGGTGAGGTTGTCTGCTGAGTGCTAAGAGATGCTCTTCTGCCAAGCACTGTCGTAACACGTTACACATATTTGAGCTACTGTTTCCTGCTGGCTTGAACCAGTCTCTATTCTCCTCTGACCTCTCTCACTGCCGACCTAAAAAACTGTAAACTCTAGAGACCTTAGATTTTAAGGGGGGAATCATTTGCCTAAAGATATTCTACAGTGTGTATATATATATATATATATCACCCCGCCTGAGATACAACACCGCAAAATAATGGGCTGAGTACATTCAAAGGGCACTTTGAGAACATTTAGCTCATTAGTACCGTCAGAAGTCCCAATCAAGGGGCCACATCATCACACCTGAGGCAGGGAGGACAGCACAAGCTGCCTGGAAAGGAAACAGCTTTACCGAGGCTATATAAACTTCATTTGTTCTTTCTTCTCCTAGCCATGTTATGTGCATCCCTTAAGTGAATTTTCTTGTTTTACGTTTACCATCTCTCAAAATTCGCAATATAAAATAAAAAAACAAAAACAGCTCTGCCTCATCTGGGTGTCACACACACACACTTCCCACCTGCCGTTGGGTTTAGACTCCAACAGGCAGCGCAGAACAGACACTATAAAAACCAAACTGACATATAGACGGAGAAGATAAGAGCAGTAATGAGGACTGTGTAATGACCCATTCACAGAACAGGCAGCTGGACTGAATGTGTTTGAGTTGCAGCTGCTGCGTTTGCTGGCTGTAATATCGGTTGCTTATATTTGGAGAGACAAAGTGCCTTAATGAACTGAGGCATATTCAATGTCAGACACGCAGCGTAATGTTCACTGCAGTAATACAAACAAACACTTGTGACCCATTCTCCAGTCTTCTTGCTTTAAAAACAAGAAAACCCAACAGCACCTAAGGATGGATTTTGTTTTGTACGTATTTTAATGGTACAACAGAAGGAGGGTCTTTGGGCCATTGACATCGATTCTTTCATGGCATCAAATGAACAAAAGCTGGTTCACATTAGGTAACTGCTGTTAGACAGTACATAAAGCACAAATACACAGGGGGTTCTACCAGGAACATACTGTGTTTATTGTAAATAAAACATGTATATATATATATATATATATATATAAAAAACAGTAAAGGGAATTTTTCTATCAGTACAATGCTTTTTTCCTGAAATAAAAACCTTTTTCTGAGAAACGTACAGCGTGATTATGGTCCTATTACTGCCATCAGCAGCAGGTGCTGCACTTACGCACAAAAATAGGAAGAATTATACATCTTGCTGGAGGAAGAGACATCTTTTGTACAATGAGATAAGCAGATTGACAATTGTGGAGAAAATCTGCAATTCTAATTGTTGCGGGTAAAAAACAAAAAAACATTGCTGTGTATCAAATTGTTTTACAATGCGACATAATAACCCCAGAGATAATGGCTTGTTCAGGAAACACAGGTTTCACCTAAAATGCCCCGCAGCTGTATGAGGCTACTAGTCAGTCAGACTCTTCTTGTGAAGTACTGACCCAAGGTGTTTTTAAAGGCTAGATCTGTAGGGATGAGATCTGGAGCGCGCGGTTATAAATAAAGCTTTTAATAATGATAATAAGGTGCAGCTTATTCACCTTATTAAAAGCTTTATTTATAACCGTGTGCTCCAGATCCCCATCCGTTGTCTTGTCTGTTAAAGACTGGTCCTCCAAATGAAGCAAAGCTGCAAGTTTGATTATACAAGTTGTTTGACCAGAAATTAAAAAGATTCCTAATCAAACACCTACCTAAAGCCGTGTCCTCTTCTTACCCGGGACACCTGGATCACTTAGCTAATTTTGTTTAATGAGGTCAACTTCAGCGGAGGAGTTAGTTAAACATCATAGTTCATTGTGGCTGTAAGGGGTAAGAAATCTGAATTAAGAAAACCACTACAGTACTAGAAGAGTCTTCGCTTCAGAGGGTGGAAGATGAGAAGAACCTCTATCCTCTGTGAAATTGATCAAACTGAGCAACCTCAGTTGTAAAGTTTGTTTCTGGACGGGTTTGTGTTGTGAAGTTGGAAAAAAAAAAATGGCTATGAGGCTATTTTTCTTCATTTAACTCCACTGAGGAGTCAGCTCTTTCTCTCTTTACTGAAACCATCTCCTCCTTAACACTCCCACCGTCTGTTAGTGCCGTTGCTTCTCTCTTCCTCTCCTCCTTAATGAGGTCCTTTTTAACCTTTGGTTTGACATCAGTGGTGGACTCGGATGTGGCTGTGCAGCTCTCACAGACAGTCGGACCTTCCCACTTTGGGATATCCAAACCCAGCAACTCCATCACCTGTTTCATCACCTCATCCACGTAACCGTTGATACGCAGGTATGCATGCTTGTCCTGCAAGACAGAAAATTACAAGCGTGAAATGATGAACCTAAAGATGCCAGACAGAGAACATGAGCAGCATATTTAACCACAATTTTGCCTTTAATTAGTACACAGTATTTCAATTGTCATACCATGTTTCCACACATATGTGTCGGGTGGCGGTGCAGGAATGAGACTTACGTGTTTTGTGGGCTGCAGGTTGACAATGGCCAATTTCCCTCCTTTCCGCTTGGTGAGGAGTGGAAGGTCTCCACTGGGTTTTATCTGCAAGGAGGTGCCGAGCGTCAGTGCCAGATCTGCTCGTCTGGGTGCAGACAGAAGAAAAAAAGATTATAGTTACATCCTCAGCTGCTTGCGACATTCTTCTTATTTTCCTGTCATTAAGGAGGATTTATTCTTGTGCGTTAAGAGGTCATCTGAGATTCCAGCACTGTCAGTGAGGAAAACATTAGCAAGTGCGTCCACATTTGTGTGTGTCACAGTATGTGACTCTCAGTGCTAAGCACGCCTTTCTCTGAAAAGTAATTACTTGGTGATATTTGAAAAACCCAGAATATTATTTAACAACATTCACAGCCGTTCTGAAGGTTTGATCTGAACAGGTCTGAACAGTACATTTGAGTGACAGAGATAAGCTTAATTTCTCTAACAATATTTGGAAAGCGAGCGGATAATTTCAACATTTATGGCTCTCCTGTATTCACAGAATCTGAGATTTGGATGAAGAAAATATTCCATCTGCAGCATAAAAAACAAAGTTTTACCTGTTTCTTAAGTTGGGACTGTACTTCTCATCTAGGTGGTGACATGACGTATGTCCTTGTTCTTTTTGTATTTTTTTAAGTTGAGCGAGGGGATACGTCATTTCTGGCTGCTATCTTTGTGTGGGTTTTAAAAAAGTGGTGCAGCTTGAGAAACGGGTAAAAAAATCTTTTCTTATCTTCAACAAACAGAAAATGTTCATTCAAATAGTTATAAAAGTCTTTGAAGATTCTAGAAATACGTTCTGAACAGCCATGAGTTTGGTAAAAATGACCTGCTGGGTAATTATTTTTTAGAGAAACGCTTGCTTAGCGCTGTCACTCAAATGTAATTATAATACATGATAGACACAAACTGTTATCTGCTGCGTTTCAGTAACACAAATCTAGCAAAGCCATCTCGACTTCAAATGTTGTGCTCAGTGCGCCCCATCATAATGAACAACGTAAACACAGCGATTCCACAGCAACAGTCTCCTTTTCAGTAATGACACATGGCAAAATTGAAGTTATCTGGATGTAACTCAGTTCTGCAAGCCCATGCATAGCCCACTGTCTCTCCATATCATAAAGTAAAATAAAGAAGAAAGAATGTCATTATGATTGTGCTACCAAAGAGTGAAGTCCACACTGAACCATGAATCAAAACCTACAAAAACAACTTTATTTAGCACTCAATTCCTGTCACATTTTTGTTGTAACAAATAAACATCCTGAACATCGACCTGCTTCTTCGAACAAATAACTCTGAAATGGTATTTATGCATCTAATATTGGCCACTGAAAGTACACATAGGGGAAACCCAAACATCAAATTCATCTTGCTGTTTTGTAAGCGCACAATTAAAGGTTTTTGCGACAGAGGGTTTGAATGGAAACATTGACACACAAGAGGCAAATGGAAACATTAAAGTGGACTGTGATGCATACAAAAACCCTAAAAAGGTTTACAAATAAAGGCGTATTGGTATATCAGGACACTGACAGCAAAGCTGAACAGAATGCTAAAGCAAATGGATCCAACACATTATTTCAGTTTTAAGTTCACAGGATGCATTTGATCTGTGACTTGTGCCGTTGGGCCAGTAATGAAACAGGGAGAGGAAACTGGGATAGATAAGAGTAAGTACTGTGTTTTTCTCAGTTATAAAGATGCATGCTGAACCAAAAACAAAAACATCAGACACTATAAAGTAACAGAGGAAACAATTGCTGCAATTTCTGTGCATCTCACCTGCTGGCATCATCTGCTTTGTTCAGGTCTCGGTCAGGAAGAGCATCCTCCCAGTCCAGTATAGTGCTTATCAGCTTTCCTCTGTTATAGTGAACAATACACAGTCATGCTAATAAATGTCTCATAGCACATTATTTTGAAATGCGGTAAAAACAGGTGTTACCTGCAGGCTCTGAGTCCTCTGGATCGTACCACCTCACAGTAACGTCCTGTTGGTTTCAGCCCCATCACACCAATCACCTTTTCTCTAACATACTGCCTGGAAAACCAAGACTCCTACAGATTACATCTCTGTCCAATCACATCAGCTTTAGTTTAGTTAAGAAGCCACTTACAAGCTTCATACCAAGATCCAGTTTTCCACAATTGAACAAAAACATGATAGTATAGACTCTGAGGCCACTTTATTAGATAAACACAACTCTTGCCTCCAGACAGCCAGATTTCTTGAAAACATGGCCCATACACGATTCTGGAAATGCTCTTTAGGGATATCAAGGACTCATGCAGCTGCTGCAAAGTTGTTCAAACATACATTTATGTCTCTGTGCTACTTCATCTCAAAAGTAATCTACTTGGATGAGATCTGGAGTTACTGGAGTAAAAAGAAATCACTGTCATGTTCCTGGAATCCTATTGAGATAATTAGTGGTCATTGAAAGGGGGAAATTATCCTGCTGGAGAAAGAAAATAGCGCCCATCATTAGTGAGATGCCTTGCAGAGCAAACACTCGACTTACAATGGCTTTTACCTTTTAAACATGGCAGGACGTATCAGGGATTCTAACTCTGACTGTTGTCGAAAGAAATCAAAGATTTACTGGCTCCCCTTTCATAAATTTAGCAATCACATGTCTATTGTACCTTCCTCTTGTTGTTCCTCTCTAAAAGAGTGGAACCCAGCATGGTTTTTTTTCTGCTGCTGCAGGGCATCTACTTCAACAACTGAGCGCTCAGAGATGGTCTTCTGCACATCGGAGCTATTACTTGTGCACTATTGGCCTTTCTGTGAACTTTAACAGGTCGGGCCTTTCTGTTATTGATGAAGTGCTTTCAATCACAGAACTGCCACCAAATGCACGTATTTCACTCTCTGCTGTACCTGCAGTGTGTGAAAATCCCAGGAGGACGCCGGTTTCTGAGATGCTGGAAAGACAACATCTGGCTCACATCCGATCCTGTGCATGCTAATGTTAGATGAACAATAAGTATCCTGTCTGAATGTTTTATATATATTGTGTTGCGGCGGCTTGATTTGCTGTTTGTAGTACCGAACAGGTGTACCTAATAAAATGGCCTTAAAGTAAAAGCCAGGAAGAGTAGCTTGTAAGGATGAGGATTATCAAAGACTTTCAAGATGTTGGTGTGTGTGTGTGTGTGTGTGTGTGTGTGTGTGTGTGTGTGTGTGTGTGTGTGTGTGTGTGTGTGTCTGTGTGTGTGTGTGTGTGTGTGTGTGTGTGTGTGTTTGTGTGTGTGTGTGTGTGTGTGTGTGTGTGTGTGTGTGGATACATACCGGCCACACTTCTCACACTCCTCCACAAACATGTTTCCATGAAGCTCTGATAACATATCCCTAATAGAGCAAGAGGGAGAAAAGTCCACAAAGGCAGAAAGATCACAAAGACGATATTCACTTAGATCATTGTCTCCAAAGTTAATGTCAGGACTCTTCAACACAACTTTTCCTGAGTCCTTCTCTGTGACTGAAACTCTGTTAAATATTCTGAGGCCATATTCACTTCTGTGTTCCACCTGGTACCTGCACAGATGAGTGCCAACCAGTTTACTTTACCAGTTTGTCTGCTGTCTCAGTGATTTCCTCAGAGAACTACCGCTTCGCTATCTAGCCTCGTCTAAAAAAGAAAAAAACAACCTGACTGATAAAGGGTAGAGGGAGAGCTGAGAAATGGCTTCCAGGGAAAGCAAGTCTTCCAATATGCGTAAAGGCTGGATGTACGTACTGAATGAAAAATTGGATTCTTGGCCTTTGGGTTAGTCCGGTATGATTGGATAATCCAGAGTCAGACCAAACATTTTCCATTACACTGAGCATTATTTGAAGTTATTTGAGCCGCATTTAAAGAGCGGCTCATTTCTGGCGCTGTTACAACTGTTATCATAAAGCAGCAGTTCCGTATTTGAAAACAATGAGTCACAACCCAACAAGTAACAAATTGGTGTGAAACAAGACGGTCACAAAGCTTACAATTCATTTGTCTTTGTAAGATATTAAAAATGCACAAAAAAAATATAACGTGGTTGTTTCATCCTCATTGAGGAATTCACTGCATTTTCCTAACAAGTTCACTTTTCCTCTAAATAAATACCTCACGTCCACTTCTCACTTATTCATTCCCTCTCCTCTCCACTCACTTTGCTTCAGGCACAGTGATGTCCCTAAAATCTAACACATATTAGCATATGGAACATTTTCATCCATACTTAGATCTTTTTTGGGGAAACTAGGAATCTGCTGTAGTCAGTTGTACAGTATCTGATAGGATGACCTATCTGTACTGCTCCATTAATAAATACGTTTATATTAATAAAAATAGGTCAACTGACTACATTTAATGTGAAAGTGGTACTCATAGCAACAAATCCGCGTAGAATTATCCCCCGACTCCGCACTTCCCCTCGGCTCTACGGACCTTTAGCATCTTCCAGCTCATTGTTTGGTTTTATAGCCTGTGACTTTGATCTTTCCATTCACTCGCATCAACTTTATTTCCAGCAGCAGCAGCAGAAGACGGTTAGCGACTAGCTGCTGAACATAGTTCAGCATTTAGCAGCTAAAGAGCCAGATATTTCTCTGAGGAGAGCTACAGGAGAATGAATAGTGGACTTTAATCTTTAATCAGGGAGACACAAACAGGATTATGCTAATTAATCGCCATAACAACTTGTTGGGTGATAATATGTCACTGTTGAAAGCTGCATTAATTGATTAGTCCTTCAACAGAAAATTATCAAATCATTTCAGTATCTTTCTTCCAAACAAATGATACAATTGTAGGGTTGCAGCTTCTTAAATATAAATGAATAAATTAGTTGTTACCTGGGGAAGCCTGATCGCACATGCAGTCCGTCCACATTCTGGCTGATGAGATACTTGAGGTACCCGGCCCTCTGCAGTCCCAGGAGGGCCATGTGAGTCAAGCTGGGTCTGGCATCTTCAAATGTCGTGTCAAAGCGAGGTGACTCACCCTTTTCTTCTAACGTCCACACACCCTTTGGACCTCTGAAAGAGAATATAGTGATAAATAGACTGGTGATAATCAAGATTTACCAGGTTGCGATGGACTGAAGATATTGTGTGTCTAAAAGTAATGTGTGGGTTTTTTTCATGGTTGAATATTAACAGTCTGATGGGAACATTTCTGCAAAGGAGATCAGTGAGCCAGACTGACAACACGCTGTCAAATGCAATTAAATAAAAAGAATTGTACAAAGATTCTCCTGCACCTGAAACATACATATTATATTGAAGGAAAATATCTTCATGAGGGTTTCACAAAAATATCTACAGTGTAATCTGACAGAAATATATTCCTACATATAGTGATACAGTTTTCCAACTAAAATATATGCAAATCTGTTGTCCACTCTGACATCCCTCTGTTTGTGCTTCTTTGATTAACCAGTCAGTTTTGGGTGTCTGAATAATGTATAAACGCAGCGCTACAGTCAGCACAGGCGCCGTCTAACATCCTCACAGTTGCCAAGTTACTTCGAGCACACGCGACTTATCTTTATGCATCAAATGAGGGAACGCATCCTGCAAATCCTCAAACGCACGCACAACAGTCTCATCTCTCGCTTTCAATTTGAACTTGCACATCCCTCACCGTCAACGTGATTTATAGCTATGCTCAGTCAAGACCAGTTCAAAGACATACCAGCATTAACGGAGAGGCGTGTACATCTCTTATTACACGCTTATCACCCCAAGAAAGATGCTGCAGGACATGAAAGTCACGGAGGATCTGTAAAGCTGGTATATTCACATATGTGTGTGTGTGTGTGTGTGTGTGTGAGTGGCAGCAGTAGGAATAAAATGTATGTTAGTAGGTTAGTGATACGTATACAGGAACCTTGGTTTTATTGATATTGCTGTTCAAGGTTGACAGGCACAGTGGTAAAATATTGATCAGTCAGGTTTCCAGGGCTAATGGCAACAGGCATGTACACATCAATTCACACAGGAAAACATCTGTCATTCACACAACGATATTGAAGGGCTGCAACTAACTATTATTTTCATTATCGATTTATCGGTCGATCATTTTCTCGATTAATCGATTTGTTGTTTGGTTCATAAAATGTTAATCATTGTTTCCCATTATTTTGTATTTTGTCCACAACTTAAAGATAATCAGTTTACTGTTATGGACCGACTAAAAACCAACAGAAAATAATTACATTTGAAAAGCTGAAATCAAATATCTTTCGATTAATCGACTATCAAAATAGTTGGTTAATAATAGTTATTAAGTTAAATACTAATTGATGAATTGTTGCATCTCTAGAATAATCAACTCAACTAATGTCTTCCTAAAATATAAAATGTAAGTTATATAGTGCCACAGTTTAGCTATTATACGTGTTTGTACAGTACCAGAAATTCTCCCACTATAATGAAAGAAAACAAAAGGAGCAAGGATTTATTTCAGTGCGTATGACTGTTTTAGAAAAAACTGGATCTGACAAATAATAAGCAAGTATCTCCCTCAACTGCTCATACAGCGGTACTACAACAGAAACCAGGAGGCTGAGCCAAGAGATCCATTAATGTCAACCAGAAACAACAACAACAACAAAAACAAAAAAAGGACTGGCCTAGATTCACTGATTATGCAACTCGCTTAAGAACAAATCTTGATGAGGTGTAGTTAAAGGACTCATCGCTTTCTCGACTCATTACAATATGTTCAAGACACAGCTTGTGACTATGAATAGCTCTGACACATTTTGTCGTATCATTGTTCACAAAAACATCTAAGGCTTTAAAATGAATCAATGAACCACTGGACAATGAATATCTTACAATAACAATAAACGCTTAATTAATGCCAAACATTAATAATTCAAGCATTTTAAATGTTTTGCTTTATAGCACTGTCATTTAAATATATTTGGGGTTTGGACAGCTGGTCAGATAAAACAAGACCCCTGAAGTCGTCATCTTGGTCTCTGGGGAAATGAGATCTGCTTATTTAATCATTTTCTGACCTTTGACTGATACATCGATTGATCAAAAATATTATTGACAATGAAAACAATAACTGATTGCAACGTAATTTATAATTAATGTGCAAACTAAATAATAAACATAATATTTTGTTGAACAAGAAAATAACAAAACAGGAGTAAATAATTCTAAGGAATGGAGAATGTGATGCAGCATAATAAAATATGTACTGTATGTATTTTAATTATCCAACAGTTAAAGTAGTCCAAAATGTATCGGTGACGAAGTGACTGAAGAAAAGCAAATGTAGAGAGAGTATCTTCTCAGAAATTCAAAACTGGAAGATGAAAAGATATTATTAATATCATCATAACACATCTTTTCCAGGCTGCCAAAAATGAACTGAAATGACAACATGCAGTTTCTTTTCTTTATCCCTCCTTTAAACTTCTGATCAAACTTCAGCCTTAGTATTTACAGCAATCTCGCCCAAGTATCTCCCTAATGGCTACTATAATAAACAATTGTCTGCACTGCAAACTGGTCATTTCATTACACTGTCCTGCTGATTCTCCACAGCTGTGGCATCAAACAACAAACAAACTTTGAGATTTTACACAAAGAATTTGTATTGAAATATTCTGGATATAATAAAAAAGGGCTGGAATGCTACATACTAATAATACTACTACTTAATCAATCACAATCATCCTAAAGGTAAAATCACAGAGGTGAACATGCTGTACATACATCTGCACCGTCATTCACAGTAAAAATATGGAAGGTAAATGCACATTAAAAAGCTGAGTTGAGCACTGTAATGAGCACAGTGTCCCAAACATCCTTTCTTACTCTTCATGTTTTCATGATCATGAAACAGGTCGAGAGAGAAAAGCAGAGTTTGTGTGAACGGTTGATGGGAGAAAAGAGATGTGCTTGTTTGTGCCTCACCTGAAGTCCGGGATGCCTGCTGAGGTGCTGATTCCTGCTCCGGAGTGAACGACCAAGTACTGAGATTCTTTAATCAACTGAGCGAGGGTTTCCGCCTTCGCCTTCATCTCCTCGGGATTATCAAACATCTGCCACAGAACGCAAAATGTCAGTTTTAAGAACAGCTGGCCGGTACAAATTAAATATCACAATGTGTTTGAAGAGTATTTAAATATCAATATTTAGGAGCGACCAAAGGTTGGGAAGGGATGCTTTCAGTATTTTATCTACACAGGAGTGAGTGACACGCTGAGATGTTCAACGCACACAGGTTTTAATGGTCTTCTACACCTCACACACACTGCCCTTCTTCTGTCATTTCCTGTTTATGTTTATTTTAATGTCACATGTGTATTACTAACTGAGCCGAGCGTTTGTTAAACATGTAAAAGCTCTGGGGAGAGAATTATAAAGTCTACAACAAAGCTTTAACAGAGAGGATGACATTATGATTACCAAAAGTATATTGACTCCATCAGTGTGCAGTTTCGATGTTCTGCTACTTTTTAAATACTATTCTACTTTCCAGAGTGAAACAGTCCACTGGCCCTTTACTCATCCACATTTTCTGACTGCTGGAGTTAATGTTTTTGTTTTTATCCCTAGCTTGTACTTCTCTTCTCCCTTTAACTGAGGACACATGCTACAGGCAACAATAAACACATATGAACAACACAGGGTCGAATGAATACTGCTTGCATTTAAACGAGCCTGTTATTCAGTAAGTAGTTAGATATTAAACCACCAGGACAAAACAACAAAACAAACGATGACAGAAAACTGTATAATAACATTACTTCAGTCCTTCCTGTCGTCACCTAACATTTCTGTACCTTTTCTTCCGTTCATTTGTAAACTGAGTTGTTTCAACTCTTCTCTCTTTTGTTTTATTAAACCGAACATGAAGCAGACATCCTCGGCTAAACTGCTAGCAGCTGATTAGAAGCTAACTGTAGCTCACAAAAGCTACATTTTACCTCCGGAAGTCCGCAAACGCCTTTGTCTGCGTACGGCGAGAGTCCGGCTGCATAATTCACAGACATGGCTGTTGTTAGTATCGTTGTTTTTTTATTGTTTTTGTTTAGAAAAGCTGTTCTTGATAAAAGGAGAAATCTCCCAGACGGGCTTCAACTGTGTTGTTTGGCTGCCGTCATCTCTGGGCGACGACACACATATGCTGCATTCACAGAAACAGGGAAAATTGTAATTTACGCGATTACCACCCCTTTGTTTCGATAAAGATAACGTTATAGCTCATTGGCAGTAGATATCGATCTACAAATTACAGGTAAAGGCGCTCAGCACACTTTAAGGTACCGTCTTTTATTGAATGTATGATAAAATATCCCACGTTAGCGTTATTTTACTGGATTACCTTCTAAGTTTATCTTAATGCGTATCATCAGGAAACCCGGTGCAATGCCTCTGCCCACCAAGGTAACACAGCAGCACCATTTTGAGCTTTTATACACTCTTGGTGAACTGTGACGCTTCAGTGCTTGGGGTGGACATTTATATTAAGCAAATCAAACTAAATCTACACAACGATTTGATCATGACCAACAGCACGTATTTATGCTCAGGTGGTTGCTGCTTTGAGCTGTGAGGCTAATGTCCGATATTCCCGTGTGACGTGAAGGCAGCACGGTGTGTCCATGGAGGAATCCTTTCCTGTTATCAGTGGTTTCTACATTATATAGACAGAAAATACAAACTATTACCAACAACCAAGATAAAGAAAAGCTCAAATACAGATTTATATCAGAAGATCTACAAATGGACAGTTTTAAGAACAATAAAATCCAAGGTGATTATGTTTTTAGATTATTTTAAGATGTATTTCCTAACTGTAACAGTAAATATTAAGTGAAACCTGTAATTACACGATATACCAAAGAGGTACATTAAGTGGTAAATGTCACATCGATTACTCCAAGCATTTTTTTCCCAATAAATCTTTATTTTTCAGTTTTAAATAGCCAGAAATAAAAAATAAAGACAGGTGAATAGAACAATAAGGTGATCATCCATACAGCTACATGTGCATATCAGTTATGGTTCCTGTTAAAGCTGTAAACCAACTCTGAAGACCACCTAAAAGAGGAAAATAGTTGCTTGTCTTAACGGTTTTGTCGTATTGTAATTCATTATCCTGAGAAATTCAGTATGAAGTGCCAATTTGAGTAAATAAAACAATCAATATTGCTGATGCAGAAATACACAAAGAGGACACCCATGCACTCTGAAAATCATATCAAAACCCGTCCCACTCTCCGCTGACTCAAAGGATAGAAATGAAAATAAAACATGGCGGCCATGTTCTCTTTCACCTCCAGGGCTGAAATACGTTGAAAATCCTGACTGATACTGCAACAACACCTTTTGACAGACATTTTTTTCCCCTATAGAAGCTTTTTTTTTTTGCCAATCAAATCTAATAATCTCATCACGTTAATCATTCTAAATTTCCAGTCTAACCAAAGAAAGAGGCTAAAATAACAAAGCTCACAAGAGAGCAAATAAAGACAAGAATACAGCAAACAGTCATAAAATGTTTTGGGCTTTCTTTTACACTGCTTTAGATCTTTGGCTCCGTCAGACCTCTCAAGAGAGAAAACCTGAGGAGAGATACAAATCTGATCAGTAATTAGAAAACACTTGGTCATCCTACACGACTCTTAAATCTGAGCTACTTCAAACAACAACCCCACACTCAAAATGACAGAGAAAACACATCCAACAGTAACCAGAAGAAACACAGCAAAGATCAATTTCATGGTGCCAAAAATGTTCACGAGGATTTCACCCACTGACTCAGCTTGCCAGCCAGTCCTCCAGATACAAAGTTCTCTGGGATCTCCATCGACACAAGTCTTTCTCATCAGCGAGCTGAAAGCAGATCATGATGTCGGTAAACAGTCCACCAGTAAAAGAGACAAAAAAAAAAAAAAAAAAAAGCTTTCGAAGATGTTCTGGCATGCTCAAGAACTTTGAAAAACATCGTCCTGTGACATCCCGTCTTATCGAAGCGAGACAGATTTTGAAACTTGGAAAGGTCTGAGTCGTATTTGCAGTAGACTGCTCAACACAACCCGGCTACTTGAAGTCCTCAATCTTCCGTCGGTCATTGAGACCAACTACTGGTGAGCAACATCCAGTTACAATTAGGGAAATAAAGATATGCAAGAGAGAGACTTAGCAAAGTTTGGAAGTGTTTGCACCAGTGCAAATGTTGCTATTGTTAACAGTGGCTCTAACCCCACGATACCATATACTGTACAGGGGACTGAACAACTCAGTAGGATTAAGTAATAGTTGACGTTATTCTCTCAAAGTAAGGTTTTAGGTGATAATGTAACTGTTGATGAAAACTGAAGAAACTGGTGAATTTTGTGCTGGTGCAAATCTTACCAGGTCTGACCCTTTCACAACGGTGCATCGACTTTAAACCTCTGACAAAGAAATCAGAGGCTCAGGAAAAAAACTGCTCTTTTCATTGGTTGAGAAGTGGGAAGCTTCAAATCTTTCTCGGGTTGTTGACCTAGAATATCTGGCAACCCAGACAGAAAAAGGGGGTAGAGCACGTCAGCTAGATTGGGAATGCTGTCGAAAAGCCCGTCACGACTCCTCGTTGCCTGAGTCGTCCTCATCGTAGCAGCAGTCGCCGTCCCCGTCCTCCACGTCGTCGTCATCATAGTAATAGTCATAGAAGAGATCGGAGCCCTCGTCGGGGGCCGGGGCGCGTGTGCGGATGCAGTACTCGGCCAGCGTGGTGGGCACCTTCACGCCGTCGCGCTCAGCTTCCGCCTTGGTGGCCAATACCTGTTTCCTGAGGGAGGTAGAATATGTATGATGAGTCAAGGCTGACGCTTGGAAAAGAGGCTCTTGAAATGAGGTTTACTGTCGTAAGAAATAAAAGTAATAATCGTAATAAAGTTTGACTGTTTACCTGATGATCTCCACGTATTCCCGGTCCTTGCCCTTGCTGTCCCTCCATTTGCGGTACATGACGGACGCATCCACGTTGGCAGGAGAGAAGGTGTTGGGTTCATTCAGCAGCGAGATCACACTAAGCAAAATAGTCCTGGAAGCAAACACAAAATGTGAGTGGCAAGTGTTAAAACTAATGCACAAGAAAATAGCATACAGAAATTATATAAACAGGATATAAACACATGCATTATTTGTTTGTTTTTTTATTTATTATTCCATTTATGTGGAATATTGAATCTCTCTCCATCATGCCTGTTTAGTGTATTTTACAGTTCAGTCGAGCTGTCCAAATTAGGGCGGCAACCAATGTTTTGCCTGACCAACAGCTCAAAAATATTAACAATGTGAACAGCCAAACAAAACAAATAAATATATCAATCAGAATTAAGTTTTAATGCTTGCAGTGTGAACGTCTAATTAAATCCTCCCTCTTGTTTGTGAACATTAGAAACACTTCTCCAAGTTCGGGTCAACACCACAGTAGTACAGTACAAACTCAAAAATAAACATAGTTAAATCAATACCTCTCTGACAGTGTCCATAACACCGAAGATTACTTATCTTTATAAAAAGGTAGGATTTATGGCTTAATTTAATTAAATTTATGGCTCAGCTGTTGCATTGGATTGCATTAGATTTAAAATAATAAAGTTAAGTGGCCTTTGAGTAGTTCTGGTGAAAATTGCTGTCTACAGAGGAGTAACACCTTTTAATTATTGTATTACATGTAGAATTTACTAATATCAATATCAGATCTGTTGCACAGTGTAAATGTGGATGGTGTATTTGCGGTGGCAATAGACATTTTTTCCAGAGCGGACATTTTGACTTGTAAAAGCAGGAAAAGCCCAGGTAACATTAACTAACATGTGACAGCAGAGCTCTGGAACTGGAACACCTACATGGAGCGCAGCCATTGTTAATGTTATTAGTTCCGCCTGTGCTGGTTGCTATGGCGAGTCAAAAAGGCAGCAGCAAAAAAAAAAAAAAAAAAAAAATCTATAACCCACAACTTTATTAACAAGGAGCCTGAAAGAAATAAGAAATGATCACGTATGCAGTTAATTCACATAGATACCAAGTCCCATATATTTGTATGCTCTTTCATAAAAAAACAAAACAAGGCCTTGTTTTGTTTTGGTCTTTTAAAAATGCTAAGTTATCCTAATGTCGACGCACTTTATAAGAATAATTTTAAAATACATGTTTAATTAAAAAAATGTATTTATAAAGATTGATCTCATTCTGTTTGTGACTAAGTACAGTATTAAGAGGGTTCAGTTCAGGTTCAGCTTTTATTTTTAGCAGTGAGGGAAAATTCCCTGCTGTAGTGCAAGAAAATGTGCTCTGACACAAATAAACAATACAGCAAAAAGCTGAAATATTTTACTTTTTACACCAAGTGGTGATGCCCACGTTGGGAAATTTAGTACCAGCCACATGTTAAATGGAGAAAATATTTAAAGTGACACAAAATAATTACTTACTATTGAGTGGCTGGTGAATTTGACCATTTATCTGTTAGAGGTTGATGTTCACATTTTAAAGCTTACACATTGTGTAGCTCTACAATTATTGCACAACAAACCAACATATAAAAAAGGTAGATGGCCAACGACAACACTGAACAAAAAACAGACGTGTTGCTGAATACTCAGATATAAATTCAATACTAGTTTCTAGGAACTTCTGAAGAGACTCCACTGAAGATAAATGTCATGTGATAAGTGTGTGAGCCAGGTCACTCATTGAAGTGGCTGAGAGTAGACAAAGAAGGGAGGTTCCCAGAAAGAAGAGAGAGATATATATATGAGGGGAGATAATGAGGGAGACTGCTAACCGGACATTCTGGGTGGGATTCCATCTCTCTGAAGGCAGCTCTCCGCTCTGTGGGTCGTCCACCGGAGGGTGCAATATAGAAATACACACATCTCCATTCTAAAAACAAAGCAAAGCAACTATTTTCACCATGAAAGGCATCATATAACCACCAAAAGACATCTAACACGATCAAATACAGCAATATGGAGATAAAAAGGTGTTTAATATTATAAGACAGAATCGGGGTGTTTTATACTCCACCTCGTAGATGTTGGGGTGCCACATCTTGGTGAGGAACCGGAAGGCAGGTGGGGAGTATGGGTAGTCTATGGGGAACTTGATCCGAGCCTGGGACACAAAACAGGTCTTTACATGTGGCCGTGCACTATAATCACTACAATATACTGTATGACATATTTATAGTGACCTAAATGTCATATCATTTAATATTGTGTGGTCATGCAAGTAGTGCAGTCAAACGACGCTTCTACTGTAGATTGTGCTCAAAACATATAATAGCTTTAGAGTGACTCTGCATCACACAACTGTTTACCCAGATGTGCCAAAGACAATTATAGGTTTATTCTACAGTATTCTTACCTTAAAATATCCCCCTTCATAGTGAGTGTTTGGGGGTCCGAAGATGGCCACTTCCCAGTTGTACATGTCAGCCTCATCCACCAGTGTTATTTTGAATCCCTCGACGGGCTGCTCCTGGAGGCTCTTCATTTCCAACATGAGTGCTTTCTGTGAACTGGCTACATGAGAGTGGTCGTGTTGCGCCATATCGGAGAACTGGGTAGCTTTCAAGATGATCTGCAGTAGACAGCTGACAGAGTTAGCCTAACTAGCCAAACGACCTACTGACACTGAAAAACAACTTGTGTGTTTTCGATGTTCGGAGACAATGAAACAGGCCAAACCAGCCGGGGCTGCGCGCAAGTCTAACAAAAGCTTTACGTTGATTTATCCCCCTAAAATCAGAGGAATTATTTACCAATGTCAACACTGAGAAAGTGGAGAGCTGACCGGACCATTGTGGCTGACCAGCGACTCGAGCTTTAGTTGATCTAGCTGGCAGGTCAGCCCCGGATATAAGCCGTAATCTACTGCTAGCTGCTGGCTACAGGGAGCTAACTAACCAGCTCTACCTTACCGACGAGCTGAAGCCGAGTTCACCGTGGCGTGAATACTTTCTCCCCCTCTCTCTCTCTCTCTCTCCCCCACAGAGAGAGCGTACAATATTAAACACAGCGTTAGAGCTGAAGCGCTGGCAAACACAACCTGTACCGATAATGCTCAGAAACGCAGCTGCTGTCGCCCTAAAAGAAGCTCTGGTGAAGAAGAATGTTGCTCAAAGAATCCCCTCTCCCTTCAACACGGGCAATGGCGCCCGGTGTGCTCTGGGATTTGTAGTCCTGGTTTCACCTGTAAACATCGCGTTTAACCTTGAAAGCAACCACGGAGCCACACAATAACGTACACAACATTGTGGTTATACGAAGACAAGATAAACAAGGGGAGCTGGGCTGAGCTGCGGCCATTATTCTCTCAACTATTTATTTTATAGTGAATTCAGAAAACTACGTTTTCCAGCTGCCTGACGTCACGAAAACACGACTGTTGTTTGTGTTTCTGAAAAACAGCTCTGACCTATTTTCTCTCAGATTATTGTAACATAAAAACACATTTATATCTTGTTCATTTGATTCAGGCGGTTCTGTGTGCTATTAAAAACACGGAGGGGATTTATTTGTACTTTTTAAAAAATTACTTTATTTTTTTCCCCTCGATATATACACTCGTGACGTCTGCAATACGCGCCATTTAGTAGAAAGTCCCTTTAAGATGTCTTGATGCTGCCTGAGTAATTCATTTTAAAACCAGACAACGTAACGCATTGTTTTGATAACTGTCAGTGTTTAGTTTAGTTTAGTTTAGTTTAGTGGCCGACATTAATGTTTATTAGCTCATTAAATACAAATACACAGATAAACTTTACCACGCGAGGACCGCAAAGCCTCTGCTTTGTCACGTCTTATTTACGCGACAGGGTGCACGTCGGACCCCGCACTGGCAGAAAGTTCGTGATGGGTTCGAAATCACGACGTCGTGATTCCCGCTCCAAGTCCAGAAGTCGGAGCCGGGATCGGCGGAACAGGTCCAGAGTGAGCAGGTCTCGATCCCCGGAGGAAAAGAGAGGCCGCAGTCGGTCCGCGGACAAGAAAAGAACCGCCCGGGGACGGGGACGGTCGGGCAGCAGGGACTCCAGCGATGGCTCCCCGGGACGGCGACGGCCTCAACACAGGGACCGTCCGGGCTCCCGGAGCGGCTCGGAGAGCGACAGGAGGCGAGGAGCGCGTCGACCCAGCAGCAAGTCGAGGGGTCGATCATCGAGGTAACTGTCTGCTGGCTGGTTGTTTATGGATCCGGTTCTTCTTAGAGCAGCGGTCCATGTATTTGTGTGCTGCTCAGACCCTAACCCGAACGATTTTCATGCTAATATTCGATATGAATTCCCTTTAACTACTAAGTTAAATTATCATGTAATGGTTTCGGTTGATTTAAAGGTGCTAAAGTAAAGACGAACTTCTTACCTTTCTAACCGTGTATCGTTTTAAACATTTACTTTTGCTCGGTCTTTACTAGAGTCGGTAAAAGGATGCTAACACCGGTGATTTAGCCGTGAGCTGCCGGTGTCCTGAGTCGAACGGCAGCGTCCGCCCGCTGTAAACATTGAACACTGCCGGTGTTATTATATTATTAAGTTGTTCCTGAGACTGACAAACTAACATCAACTCATCTGGGATCGTACTTTCCTCCTTCAAAATAAGATACAATGCTTTAACAACTCTAATTTATGTAGTTATACCGCTATACCGCCACCTACTGGATATTTTGTTAAACACTTTTCATTTAAAATACAAGCTGATGCATTTAATTTAGCAATTACAGACACATATGCTGTATGCTCATATAACAATTACCTGTAATGGACTCAGTGCAGAGTTAGTATGTAGCATAATATAACAAATAAATGTTCATGCATACAATTATATAATTTAATCAAAAGACAAATGATATGACATGAAAAATATTTTACTAAATTGAAAAACACAGCAATATTTACAATATTTACAATATATACAATATTTACAAAAGATACAATATTTACAATATATACAAACAAATAGACAACAGATAATCAAATTAAAAACAAACTAAATAACAAACTTATCAAACAAATTCAGACACCAAAAACACCAAAATTCATCTTTGTCCAGCTCCTCCCAGCCGACACAAATGGTGTGAAACCATTTTGTGCATTTGTTGCACTGGACCCACGGCACCAATCCCTCCGAGCAGGCGCCCGGAGGGTCAGGTTCCCTGCACTGGCCACACAATTCTTCCAAATTGGTGTGACCTAGTCATAGAAAAAATGTATTTAAGAACATGTTTTGAATATCATGGGATGGCACACAAAGACTGTTAATGTTAAATACAATACCAGTGGATGCCGTGGGTCCAGCAGACGGCTGGGAGGAGCTGGACAATGGCTCAGCTGTCTGTCTGCAGGCTGTATAAACAAGATGACATGTGTTGTTTACTCATCATCATCCCTAATATCACCAGCATCTTAGGACATTGCTTGTTTTTATCAATGATATAAAGTATTTACATTGGGAGGGAGAACGCACCTCGAGCAGGAGGTGGGCCAGGTCTACTGAGATCCTGCCTGATGTTACCAGGGGATGGGTAGAGTAGGGATTGGGTGGACAAGGGACAGGAGGTGGACAAGAGACAGGGGGTGGACAAGAGACAGGGGGTGGACAAGAGACAGGGGGTGGACAAGAGACAGGGGGTGGACTCTGGTGTGGGGGGGGGTGTTGGGATGGGGGGGTAACATCAGGCATGGCCCAGGAAGATGCTGATGGGGTTGGCGGAGGTGGCGAGGAGGTCCCACGCCGCGGTCCGGATGGCATAACCCGTGACCAATCAATGGCTTCAGGGTCCAGAGGGTAGAGGCCACACTTCCTGAACCCAGCCACCACCACTCCCCGATCCTTCACCCTCTGATATGAGTCCCTAAGGACCCTTGAAAACTCCTTCTTGGAAACCAAGAAGGAGTGGCTCATGACCGACAGATCTCCTGTAATTCCAGAGAAATCTGCCTTCAAGGGTCCAAAGAAACTCATATCCAGAGGCTGCAGGATGTGAGATGTGTGTGGTGGTAGGCACAGGAGAATGACCTCCTCCCTCTGTGCCACCCGGACCAGCTCTGGATCCAGGTGGGATTTGTGCCCATCAAAAACAAGCAGCAGCGGGCGCTCCTGCGCGGCGAACTTCAGGAAATGCCCGACAAACCACTTCCTGAACAGCTCACTGTCCATGTACCCTGCCGGTGACTTCCCGTAGAGGGCGTCGGGGACCCCCTCCTTGTTATAGGGCCCCCCGGGATATCCCCCCTTGTAAATTATGAAAGGGGGGATATCCTCCCCAGCCGCGTTGAGGCAGGCCAGGACGGTGACGTGGTCCCTGGTCCCCTGGGCCTGCCTGTAAGCATGTTTTGTCCCCCGGGGCACGAGGACCTTTCGTCTCGACGAGTCCAGCTGAAACCCCGTCTCATCGCAGTTATAGACTTGACGGGGTTTCTCCCTCAACCCGTGCTCCTCCAAGGTGGTAGTGAGGAGCCTGAAGTATTCTTCAATCGGCCCCCTCTTGGCACAGGATGCCCTTCCACGGTCAATATTGTCTGGGGTCCGAGAAGTGAAGCGCTGGCCTTGCCTCCTGCGGAAGTTGAGCCACCACGTCTGGCCCAACTTCCCCCTTCTCTCTTCTGGACAGCGCTGATTGTAAATTGCTGTCGCAAAAGACTGAACCTGAGGCTTTGTCAGTGGAAACCCATGACTGGCAGAGTAAAGGCAGTACTCCACCAGGGAATCTTCATCTGCAGGGGTGAGAAGTGGCCTCTGACCGTGCACACAGTCAGAGGCCACCCTTCCACTGACTCGGTCACTCAGGCTCGTTTTTGGGACCCCAAACTGTTTGGCTGCCTGCCCCAGACTCAGCCTGCCTGCTTTCACCTCCTGGATGGCCTCTCCCATGGCCTCCGGGGTCCACTTCCTCGTCTTCCTCTCCCTCTGGGGCAGCTGTCTGATGTTAGGCATCTAAAAGAGGCATATTATTTTAGAAATTACAGTAACATTTTTATAGGTATTTCATTTCATGTTGCATCAACAAGCACAAATGTATTTATCACATGCTTACTCACAAATATACTTACCTTAAACCAAAGCATTGTTTTTAACCATCTTGATGCACCTGTAAAGGAATAAAAGCAAATCTCTCTCACACACACCCACACCCCTTGCCTACCTTATGTCTCTCTCTCTCTTTCTCTCTTGTCTTCTCCCTTTCTCTCACTTCCCCTCTCTCTCTCACTTCTTCTCTCTTGTTTTCTCTCTCTTTCTCTCACTCGTCTTCTCTCTCTTTCTCTCTCTCTTCTTCTCTCTCTTTCTCACTTCTCTCTCTCTTCTTCTCTCTCTTTCTCTCACTTCTCTCTCTTTCTCTCACTTCTCTCTTGTCTACTCTCTCTTCTTCTCTCTCTCTGTCTTCTCTCTCGCCTTCTCTCTTTTTCTCTCTCTTGTCTTCTCTCTCGTGTCTTCTCTCTCGTCTTCTCTTCTTCTCTCTCGTCTTCTCTCTCTCTTCTCTGTCTTCTCTCTTTTTCTCTCTCTTGTCTTCTCTCTCGTGTCTTCTCTCTCGTCTTCTCTTCTTCTCTCTCTCCTTCTCTCTCGTCTTCTCTCTCTCTTCTCTGTCTTCTCTCTCTCTTCTCTCTCTCTTTCTCTGTCTTCTCTCTCTCTTCTCTCTCTCTTTCTCTCTCTTCTCTCTCTTCTCTCTCTCTTTCTCTCTCTCTTCTTCTCTCTCGTCTTCTCTCTCTCTTCTGTCTTCTCTCTCGTCTTCTCTCTCTCTTTCTCTCTCTCTTCTCTCTCGTCTTCTCTCTTTTTCTCTCTCTCGTCTTCTCTCGTGTCTTCTCTCTCGTCTTCTCTCTCTCTTCTCTCTCGTCTTCTCTCTCTCTTCTCTGTCTTCTCTCTCTCTTCTCTGTCTTCTCTCTCTCTTTCTCTCTCTTCTTCTCTCTCGTCTTCTCTCTCTCTTCTCTGTCTTCTCTCTGTGTCTTCTCTCTCTCTTTCTCTCTCGTCTTCTGTCTTCTCTCTCGTCTTCTCTGTCTTCTCTCTCGTCTTCTCTCTCTCTTCTCTGTCTTCTCTCTCGTCTTCTCTCTCTCTTCTCTCTCTTCTTCTCTCTCTCTTCTCTGTCTTCTCTCTCGTCTTCTCTCTCTCTTCTTCTCTCTCTCTTCTCTGTCTTCTCTCTCGTCTTCTCTCTCTCTTCTTCTCTCTCTCTTCTCTGTCTTCTCTCTCGTCCTCTCTTCTTCTCTCTCTTTCTCTCTCTCTGTTGTCTCTGTTCTCATACAGAAAGACAAGAGCAAAATTGAGTTTCAACAATACTGTTTTTATACATAAGGAGGTGTATCTATATAACCAATATTTTCTATCATAAAAGCCTCTACTGGCTTTCAACACATCTCTCACACCCCTCCCTCTCTCTCTCTTACTCACACGCACACACCAATAATATATCAATTATTACATGATGACATCATGATAAAAAATATACTTTATTTATTTTAGCTTATAAACAAGAAAATACATCTGAATAGCTAATTTGAACCTTATTTTTGCATTAAATCTTCATGTGTACTGTGATACTTCACAGCTTAAAAAAACAATGCTGCGCTTGCTCTGTTCCTTTGTTCTCCTTTCCCGCGTCTGTAACTTTTTCAATTTCAATAAAAAAATTTGGCCTCCGCCCACCTCGACCACAGACTGTATAAACACAATATCCGACATTTTCATTAGCTAGACTAATCATTGTAAACCTAGCTACGATATGTACCCATATGAGAGCTTATTTAAGCTGTAAAGTGAAAATAGAAACGGACTTTTAAAGTTGACTGGATCGTCGCCCAAGCGCAATCTAAGCGTTCCCGCGGCTTCCCCTCATTAAAGTAACTTTCATATAATAATTATACATGTAAATGTTGATGTATATTTATGAAAAACCACATATAGACTCTGTAAAATGTAGAAATTCCTTGGACTTACGTTAGATGGCGATCGTTTGCCGGGAAGTACCGCGAAAAGACCGGAAACTGCACCAAGCCGGAAGTCGTTCGGGTCAGGACGCCGGCAAAATCATCGTTCGGGTTAGGGTTCCGGTACGTTAAGTAGCGTCAGTGCCAGGAGGACATATGGACTATAAACGGTACCATGTCTCCCATTAAATCCTACCGACTCTCTGGCTGAAGAGTTAATAACAAATGTGTTCCTTTAGTTCACATGTTTACCCACCCAGGAGCAAAAATGGACTAAATTAATATTTGTAATTTTCTGCTTCAGCTCTGATTCAGATGATCCCAAAGTGAGGAGGAGGAGGAGGGAAATGGAGAACAAGAGAGGAACATCTGGAGATGGGAGAAGGGGAAGGTCCCAGCACAGCTCCGACTCCCGCGATGGAAGCAGCGACAGAGAAAGGAGGAGACAGACAAGTCCTGACCGAGGGAGCCCGGCCAGAGACAGACAGAGGATGGAGCGAGACCGAGACGGAGACAGAGAGAGGTGGAAGAGCAACAGCAGAGACCGGGAGAGAAAAGGAGACCGAGACAAAAGCCGAGAGCGAAAGAAGATGAGTGAAGATCGGGAGGAAGGGAGGAGCGCGAGGAGCAGAGAGAGGGCGGTCAGAGACCGAGGCAGGCAGTGCTCCAGTTCACCCGAGTCGTCTGACAGCTCAGGGTCTGATCGCGGAGAACGCGAGGTCAAAGAAAAGGAGGAGAAGAAAAAACAGAAAGACATGTTGAAAGCTCTGGAGACGCCGGAAGAGAAGAGGGCCAGGAGGCTGGCGAAGAAGGAAACAAAGGAGAAGAAAAGAAGAGAGAAGATGGGCTGGAGTGAGGAGTACATGGGATACACCAACGCAGACAATCCCTTCGGTGACAACAACCTGCTGGGCACCTTCAAATGGCAGAAGGTGAATTAGAGAGCAGTTTTCAACATTTGATACATTTTTTATTGTAAACTGTATTTCCTGTCACCACCTGACTCTGAATATCGTCGCTCATCTTTTTTTTTGTGTATTTTCTTTCAGGCGTTGGATAAAAAAGGCATCGGCCATCTCGGAGAAAAAGATCTTAAAGAGCGGAACAAGCGTATCCAAGAGGAAAACCGCAGAGAGCTGCAGAAGGTATGAGCCGTTGGGTTGTTTTTTTTAATTTATTTTTATATAGGCAGTATAAGTTCACCAGAGTTGAGTGAGTAACATCCTCTTCATTTACACGTTGTGCATTAAGGTAAAACAGCTGCGACTGGAGAGGGAACGAGAAAAGGCCATGAGAGAGACAGAGCTGGAGATGCTGCAGAGAGAGAAGGAGGCCGAGCATTTCAAGACCTGGGCTGAACAGGAAGACAACTTCCACCTGCATCAGGCCAAACTAAGGTGGGTGTGCATCAACAATTACTGATTAAATTTAATTAGCAGCTTCCCCTTTTTCATGTCACAGAGGATTCGTGTTGCTGTGTGATTTTATTTCAGAACAATTCCAGTTAAAGGTCCAGTGTGGAAGAATCGGCTGGCAGAAATTGATGTTTTTAGTAGAATAAAAATAAGAATTGTTGTGTTTTTTGTTACCTTAGAATGAATCTACAAAGGTCACTATGTTGAACTGCCATGGTCCTACAGTAGCCCAGAATGGACAAACACTGGCTGTAGACCTTTCAAGTGTTCACGGACACCGTAGTTTCTCCGACACACAGAGAAGGCTGAGCTGTATTCATATGGTTGCAATCTACAACTTCACCGCCAGCTGCCACTAAATCCAACGCACTGGTCCTTTTAATTTCCAGACACTGTCTCACAATATTTTTATTTATTTATTTATTCATTTTCTTCCTTTATTTAACCAGGAAAAGTCCCATTGAGTTACAGTAACTCTTCTCCCAGGGAGTCCTGGCCAAAACTGGCGGCAAAAAGTTTCAAAAAACAAAATATACAGAAAAGACAGGACAAAGGGAACATACTGATACTACACCACAAATCTCTGTACATACACTATACGTACTAGAACACAAACAAGACATTACACTTAACGCAAGCTAACACAGACATACAACTTAAAGGACATCTAATTAAAAACAATTACACTGTTCTGTGAGAGTTGACTTTAAAAGGGTTTTAAAAGTATTGAAAGGTGGAAGTGATTCTAGATTTAGGGTGTTTTGAAATTCATTCCAGACATTTGGTGCATATGATGAGAAAGCTGTTTTACCAAGTTCTGTTCTTGTCGATGGAATAACTAATAGTATTTTTTCTGACGACCTTGTCCTGTAAACACTATTATGGTAAGAAAGCAAATTTGAAATGTATAGGGGGTAAATATTGTGCGTGCTGTGTGTTCAGGTCTAAGATTAGAATACGCGATGGCCGTGCCAAGCCCATCGATCTGTTAGCGAAGTACATCAGCGCAGAGGATGACGATCTTGCTGTGGAGATGCACGAGCCTTACACCTTTCTCAACGGACTGACGGTCACCGACATGGATGACCTGCTGGAGGACATTAAGGTGCGTGTTAAGCTTAGAAAAGCTCTCACCATACGGGATTGATTTTATAGGGGAGAGGTAGTAGTGTAATAACAAGTAAGAGGAACTTAAACATTGCTGCCTCATTTAACTCTCATATGTGTTTAAACATTGATCCAGCCTCATGTTACCATTAAATCGATTCTGATGACGCATATAGTCGATAAATCTGCTAATAGAGAGCACTGGTATCAGATTGGTTCATGTTATCAGCAGATAGCCTGAATAAAAGTATTGGGCTCTGTATCACAAGAGAAAAAGTTGGATGGATGCTTAAAATATCCAGTAAATAGGAACTTACATAAAACTCACATCTTGAAAATGTTGATGTTGAAATGAACAAACTCAAGTTCATCATTTTATGGCATCACTTTTTTTTTAGCAATTTAACCACCCGCTGTCTGTGAGTTTGGTAATCTCCTCATTGTGAGATGAGCCCTCACCGCCTGAATAAGTTGTATTTCAACATTAATTGTGCAAGTTCAAGTCATTATATGTAGAGAAGTTGTGTGATTATAGCGTCTTTCAAGATATTCTGATGGTACAAGTCGTTATTTTATAAAACAAATTAGACATTCCCACTGACATTTGGTGCAGTCTAGTCTGTTTCCTTTAACAGGTTCATCTTTTTTATGTCTTCTTCTTTCAGTCGCCACTGGGGGGCGGCAAATTCAAATTCTTCAAAAAGTATTTGTTCTGGAGTATTTAAAATAATTTTGTTTGATTTAACGTATCCATTTAGAAATAAAATCACCAAGGACCATAAAATGTGTGACATAATGGTCATACGCTGAACCAACATTAATCTTGAATGATCACTAAGCCCAATGTGTAAACTAATTAGAAATGTTTGTCAGATTGACTCTTAACATGACAGAGGCTATGTGTTAACACTTATTTCTCACCTTCTGTTCTTCAAACGAACTCCATGTGTATACGGTTACTGTATGAGTGTTGTCTTCCGGTAGGTGTACATGGAGTTGGAGCAAGGGAAAAACGTGGACTTCTGGAGAGACATGACGACAATCACTGAGGACGAGATCAGCAAACTGAGAAAACTGGAGGCTTCTGGGAAAGGACCAGGTACATGATTTTCCCTGTCAAACACTAACTGTATGAGCAACAGGGAGCTGCGTTCAACCTAATTTCTCCGCTTTATGTTCAACGCAATCTTGTAAATTCTCAGGCGATCGTCGTGAGGGCATCAACACAGCCGTGAGCACTGATGTACAGACGGTGTTCAAAGGAAAGACGTACAGCCAGTTGCAGGCACTGCACCTGAACATTGAGACGAAGATTCGGGCCGGAGGGTCCAATCTTGATATCGGTTACTGGGAGAGTCTCCTGCAGCAAGTCAGAGTCTACATGGCCAGAGCAAGGTATGAATTTGGAGTTACTATGCTTTAATAATTTATCAGCCTGATTTTTGAATGCAATCTCAGAATGTACCCAACCAAATCAGCTTCAGTAGAGGTTAGCTGGATGGTTAATGATTAACCTGGATAGACAGTGGAAATTCTTCTTCTTGCTCTCAACGAAGGTGGACGCATCTCTCTCTCCCTCCCGTCTCCCTTATCTTTCCTGCTTTGCTTCTCAAGGCTCGTCCTGTCTTGTCTCTAACTTTGGGAGCCTCTCCCCGCATTGCTCTCCACATTTAAATCATGGAATTGGTCAACTGGTCTCTCAACGCAATTGACATCATTTTCTCGACGAGAAGCTCGGGTTCGGGGGAACCTGTCTGCCCTGAAGGAACGTTTGCCGCTGGTTACACGATGGACTCCTGGGAGAAGTGGAGGGTCGTGTGCCTGGCGATTCTTTACGTAGAGGACATCGAGGATCTCTACATATTCAGAACCATGATAACAGGCTGCTGATTGGATTAGGCATTGCCCTGGTGTATCGGAAAATTCGGAAGACGGTGTCAGCAGTCCAAAGCCCCATGAAGCTGCGCGACATGATTGATGGAGTGAGCAGAGCTGTTAGTGCTCAGACTGTGGTCATTAACCGCAACATGGATAACATCTTGGAGAAGTTTTCGGCTTTGCAAAGGAGAATGAATCGATTTGAAGACCAGAATGGACAAACAGAGTAAGTCGTGTCTATTGAAATGCGACTACTCTCCCTAACCCAAACAATCATAATCTAATCTGTATTCCGGCTCAGTAGCACCGGCCTTGGCCAAGGCCACTGCTGGAACAACTTCTCCAGGAGATCGCTGCAGTGAGACGCTCTGCCCTATTCCTCCCTCCCTTCCCCTTCAGATAATTGACTCTAGGACCCGATCAGGGACGTCTCCATGGCAACCTGCTGTGTTATCGCGATGACACCATGTGAACTGAGGCACTGATTGAGAGGCTAGACGAAGCGACTCTCCAGGCTTATGTGCACACACGCACCCATGGACACTTACACATGCGCATATGCAACACACCCCTCTTACCCCCCCACCCCCCAATCGCACGCCTTTGCCGTTTTCTACCCCCAGTGCGACAAGCGGGGTTCCGCTGGCTGCCTGTCTGTGCTGGTGCGCCTCCACCCCCCTTTCCCACCTCCCCCGGTGCAAGTTGTTTTGAGTTCTTATGTTGTAAAGTGTGCTCATATGTGCTTATGTTGCTGAGGTTTTTTCCCAGTCCCACACTGTACTCCCCCACAGGAGCAGAGTCTGGGAGCTGCTTTTTCTCCCCCCTCTCCTCTTGTTTCTCCCCCTTTTCCTCCCCCCTAAAAAGTATCTGATTCTGAAATGGGTGTGTAAAATTACAGTTGTGTGTCTCAGGTTGAGAGAGCGACACCAAGATGTGCTGCGTCAGAAGCTGTTCAAGCTGAAACAGGAACAAGGAGTGGAGAGCGAACCATTGTTCCCCATCATCAAAGAGGAACTGAGGAGTGATGATGATGAGTAAGTTACCTCAAAGACACACATCCTTAACACACCAGGTGTTCAGTCAGTTTACGTGTCCTTCAGTTCACCTCTGTTTATTTTCAGGATGTGTATTATAACCTCAAACAATGTGTAAAATACTTAAACCCAACTGTTTTTGTAACATCAGGGAGAGAACAGAAGAGCAAACCAGGGCCAAAATAGCCGAAGAGCCTGGCCAGTCTTCATCCTCCTCCACAAAATACAGAAACAGAGAAACAGAAGAGGACGGAGAGGAGGCGGGTCCGTCAACATCCACCGCAGGAAATCAAGATGGCGACAAGGGCGACAAGAAGGATGAAGAGGAGAAGGGCGAGGTGGTGGAGGCCGTGTTGACGGAGGAGGATTTGATCCAGCAGAGTCAGGCAGAGTACGACTCTGGTCGCTACAGTCCCACGCTGCTCACGTCCTCCGAGCTGCCGCTGGACTCGCACACGACCACACCGGAAGAGGACATACACAGGCTGCAGCTAGCACGCAGGCAGCTACAAGTCACAGGTATGAGTTCATCTTCAGCTCTCTAAATGTTGATCAAGCCAATCTTTGGTGTGTTGATTTGTAAATACACGACCAAGACGCTCACTGTTGCTCCTTTGACTTCTGTATCAGGTGACGCCAGCGAAAGCGCCGAGGACGCCTTCGTACGTCGTGCTAGAGAGGGCATGGGCAACGACGAGGCGCAGTTCAGCGTGGAGTTTCCCGTCACAGGGAAGATGTACCTGTGGGCGGACAAATACCGTCCGAGGAAACCCCGCTTCTTCAACAGAGTCCACACAGGCTTCGAGTGGAACAAATACAATCAAACCCATTATGACTTCGACAACCCTCCGCCCAAGATCGTTCAGGGTTACAAGTTCAACATCTTCTACCCGGACCTGATTGACAAACGCTCCACCCCACAGTACTTCCTTGAGCCCAGTCCAGATAACAAGGACTTTGGGATTTTAAGGTTCCATGCAGGCCCTCCATACGAGGACATTGCCTTTAAGATAGTGAACAGGGAGTGGGAGTACTCTCACCGACACGGCTTCCGCTGTCAGTTCGCCAACGGGATCTTCCAGCTGTGGTTCCACTTCAAACGGTACCGCTACAGAAGATAGAGGGCCACACACCGAGATGGACCAAGAGCCCATACACTTGAGTAGCTCAAAATCCCCCACTGGGTTTTAAGCACACACTATATATTGTTATAGGCAGTGGGGTTAATGTGCTTTGTTGTATTGTTTGCAGCTGCTTTTACACCAAAAAGCCGTTAGTAAAGCTTCAGATCCCTCTGTATTGTTGTCTGGAAAAGTAAATTGTAATGTCTGAAAATCACACATTAAAGATTTTTTTCCTACTTTTTACTCTTTGCAATCTGCTGCTGGTTTGTGGTTTCTGTTTCCTGTGAACAGCAATTTAAAACAATTTCAGAGTTACAGAGTTAAAACATTGAACATTTGAAAGTTCAGTCTGCAGACAGACTATATCTTCAAAAACCCAACTGTCATACACAAAAGTAGAAATAGGATTGATAAGTACAGGTACCTCCACATCTGTTCTTCACATTCTTGGCAAGTCCAGTCATGCTGAAAAGTAGTAAACCCTGCAGGCTCGATTTGGATACACTGGAGCAAAACAAGGACCAGGTAGAAAAGGTTTATTATAATAAAACTAAATCTCAGCTAGTGGTTAGAATTGAAATGGCTCAATTTTAGTCATTGTACATTCCTTGTGAAAATCATACCAGTCTGTACAAGATATTTCAATCTAAATCATCAATTAGTAGTTAACTAAAATATACTTTTAAATCCACAAACAATTATAGTAAAACAAAAACAGTAAAGCAGAAATTCAAGTGTCTCTTTCTTTTGGTGTGTCCAACTGTGCTCGACTGTTTATAGTCTCTGAAATAAAAGTTTCAACCATATGGAAAGTATTTAAACTCATTGTACAAGTCCCATATGTTAAACTGAAAAGCTCTGAATTCATTCTCAAATTTCGGACTCATCATCAATAAACTGCAGAGATGGAAGATTCACTTTTGGGGCATCATTCTCCTCTGCAGCACTGAATGCTGCCTCTCCTCCGGTGTGGTTGTTATTGCTGGTGCCGTTGTCTGTTCCTGACACCAGGGGCTTGTCCTCTGCTAGGGCAGGCCTTAGTGCCTCTTGGTATGTCACACTGGAGTTCAGACCCTCCTGGTCCTGGGGTTGTTCTTGGTTCTTTCTGCAGTTCCAAGGAAGCGGTATGTGGCCTTTGTAAAAATTCCAGGCCAAAAGGACAAGAAAACCAACCACAAAGAGCCCAAGGACAGCCTGCAGTCCAGTCACAGAGGGGCCATCCCTCTGAGCCTGGGGAAAAAGCAGATTCTTATTGCCAGGGCCTGCTGGACCTACGCTAACCTGGTAAATGGCCACAGTGGTCTTGTATTCGGCAGCTTTGGAACTCTCCACAGACAGACAGCGGTAGCGACCAATGTCGGAGTTTGAGGCGTTGAGGATAAGCAGTGTGTCTCCGATATGCTGAATGCGAGGTTCAGTGATCAGAGGGCTGCCGTCCCGCTCCCAGCTCGTTTTTGCCAGGTTGGAAGGTGAAGGGCAATTGAGCTTCAAGTTTCCCCCAGGCCAGAAGGACCGATTCAGAGGCTTAACAGGATCTGAAAACAAAACAGAGGTCCCTCACAGATGCGTTTTGATTTTGAACAACCCACAATCAACCTCAACTATGGTTCTTTGAAGAAGTAGAAAATTGGTTTCATTCTCAATCACAAAAAATAAATATGTATCATATATCATATCATATCAGGTAATAGTGTGCACTAACTCACCAGCATCTGGGCAGAGAGAGGCATCTCCTTTTTTGACACTTTGGATTAGTTCACTGAAGCAGAAGATACAATAATTTAAGTTAGAAGAGAATAGATATCAACACTACCTGCTTTACATGTCAGGACAAGTAGCTACCTTTGTGAACTAGAAAGGAGAATACATTTCCCAACAACTTTGTCCCAGCCACAGTATGGGTCTCTGGTTAGCACACAGTCCATACAGGATGAGGACCTTCCACAGGTGGCCAGTGGTATCTGTGCTGCTCCAGCGTCGGATCCTGCATAGATCTGACCCTGTACACAATGGATCCATCACTTACAAACACAGTAATGACATGGGATGTATGTGATTTACCATAATATACATGGAAAATACACGTGAGTAGTTATTTAAAAGTAATAAGCCCTTAATTAGGCTGTGATAGAGCTTTAATTTACCGTAACATTAGAGAATGCCATTATCTTGATTGGCTCTGGGTGAGGGAAGAGTTGGATTTCTTCTATGATGAACATCTCTCCATCGTAGTTCACCGCTTTCAGCACTGTGCCCTGCTCTATTCATATAAAAATATAGAAACACACTATATTTACATGCGAATACATGGCCTACTTTTCCCCACTGATGGTTTCAAGTTTGCAAAAGCAGCAAAGTATACAGCAAGTATACAGGAAGTGGCAGTGTGCCGCATGAACCACACCTGTGCCAATGAACATCACATGGTACTTCTCGCCATCTGCAGCCTGCACTTGGTTGACTATGATGCGTGTGAATGTAGCTCCCCTTCGCACCAGTAGAGGCTTCTCTCCTATTGGCTGGATGGCTTGGTCCATGAGGGGCCTATCTTTGATAAATTGAAGGGTCCGGTCTGGGAGGTCCAGAGTCTGAGTTATGCCCGCTTTACGAGCCTCATTGTCTATGCACTGGCAAGGGAAGAGGGGATGGAAAGAGAAAAGAGAGAACAACGGAGTCAGGGGACAAAAGGAATCAGCTTCCTGCTGGGCCACTCGTTAAAAAAGGAGTTGCCTTTTGAGTTTTGTCTTTGTTTCTAACACACGCACACACACGTTGAATAGTGGGCAGACTCACAGCTCCGGGCCGAGGGACGGGGACATCTCCGCTATACATCACCCACTTAACAAAAGAGGTTTCTACGGGGACTGGGGTCTTGTACTTCCCCTCCGCAAACACTCTGCTGATGTCAGACACGCGGTACACACACACTGCAGACAGGTCTGATGTGTCCCTGAAACACACACACAGAAAATGTGAGCCAAGTGGTGTGCCAAAGACCACTAAAGAAAAACAAACCTTCCTCCTTCGAACACAAACACGTTTGTTAATTCAAAACGTACGACTGTGGTGTGAAGATGGCGTAGAACAAACAGTCCTTCCAGCGCTGCTGGGGGTCACACCAGCGGTAAGTGTCCTGGATAATGTACGGCAGCTGAGACTCGAGCACTGGGCAGTCCATTCTGGCCTTTAGGAAGGATGTCCATTTCTTCTGCAATGTCCTCTGACCTCCAAGATCTCCCTGATAGCACAGAAAGAGACCATAATGTCACATTGACCAATGGGAAAGCACAAAAACAAAAGGGATGCACAATCAAACAGCGGAAAGGGATGAAGGAGCGGAACTGAGGAAGTGCTGTTTGTATGCTATTGTCGTTATGGTAAAGGCAGCTGCAACAAATAAGTGTATGCATGATGAACTCTTTCACCTTGCAGACACGGGCCACACGAGAGACCACCAGCTTGTTGTAGCAGTCGCACTCCACAGCTGTCTCGCTGAAGAACAGGTAAACCTTGTCGTCGTCTCCATCCTCGCTCAGCTCGCCCTCTGGCATCTGAGCCATGGAAACAAAGTTGGGCTCTGGCATAGAAAGAAGAAATGTGAATTTTGACTTAGCTACTGAGCAAATCATAAAGGTGAGACAGCTCACCATAGTTAGGAGACAGTGGAGATAGTAAATGTAGCATCTTGCAAAAAAACATTTTACCATTAAGCCAGGAGCTCTTGAACTCAGTGCGTATGGAGACAGGATTGCTACGCATCAGGACAGGTTCAGAGCCCAGGAAGTTCATTGAAGTGGCTGAGTAGAGATTGTTTTCTGGCGGACACACGACAGCAGACACAGAGATACTAATGAAAACACTTTGCTACATTAACCAATCCTCCTCAAGTTATTATCTGTTCTATAATCACTCCTCACCAAACATGATGGAGGCGTATCTCTGGAAAGGATCAAACGGACACTTCCCTTTGCCATCTTCTCCTTTCTTCTCAAGAGTCAGCTTTCCATCTACATAGGACTACACAGACAGATATCTTTAAATCTTACAGATATTTTATACATGCTATGATTTTCATTTAACAAGCTATACAGCATCAATTTATGCAGTGTGGAATATGAACTAAGATAAGGGAGAACCGTGGCTCTGAATTTGTCTCACCATGTAATCACACTCGGGATCAAAAGCATTCGTTCCACACACGTACATCTTGTTATCCTCCGTCTTATGGAGGATCCTGATATAGTTCTTGCAGTCCGTCTGTAATTGCATTTTAAAAAACAATGACTCCATCAACTCAATATGCAATACGTTTTAAATAGCAGAAGCCAAACCGACCCACCTCAGGATCTTTTCCTTTGTTCTTACACTCATCTTCTTGCTTTTGTGTCACTTCCCATTTAACCTGCGTGAAGTGAGAGAAGTGGAAAACTATTTGTTACATAGTTTTTAAATGTTTCTGTTTTTAAACATGACTTGTTTTTCTGCTGTAGTAACAGATAAATATACCACGTATTTTTCATGCCTTTATGTAACAGTTGACAGTGACCTGGGACATTATATGATACGTGGCAACACTATTAACAATTTATACACAAGGAAACAAAGCAGTTGTTAAGAAGATAGTAGTGGATAAAATGTCCTTGCAAATGTAACTGAAGTGGGGGTAAAACTGTTTAAAGCTGGTTTGGTTTTAGTATGTGTATAAACTATTATATTATCTATTATATGACTGTTTCCAACGCTGTTTGTCTCTCAGGCAGCACTCACTCCAGAACAGTGAGCTTGTAGCAAGTGCAGGCCAGAAATCCTGGCACGATACACAAATCTCTTAATTTTTTTTCTCAGCCCTGGGCCAAGAAATCTCTGATAAGAAATTTCAAAAGTAGACGAACGCTAACAATTAATGGGCGCCACTCCAAGGCAGGTTTGGCCTTAACTGGATTGTTAACAAAAGGTGTTCTTACTGAAGCAAGTTTCTTGGAGATGTCGTTAAGGTCAAGGGCATATACTGCCTCCCTGGCACCCAGCACTAGCAGGTCCAGATCTTCTCTCAGCAGCATGGTGGAGTAGTTGGACACTCCCTCCTCATGAAAGAGGTGAGCATTGTCCCCTGGAGGCAGAATATAACTGATTAACTCAGAAACCACCAGTGACTAACAAATGTTTCACAATGAGTCATTTCAAACTTAAAACCCATATGAGCCAACACAGGTTTGACACATTGTAAGCCAAGGTTACACAAGACAGACAGCAACACTCACTATGATAGGGCACGGATCTACGGGGGATACAGTCCAGTGGTGAGTCTTCTTCCAGCGTCAAGGCCAGGGGCAGCAGCCAAAAGACACTGAGGGACAGCAGCGGATGCATGGCTCTTTTGTTCAGGCTGAGAAGAATTTAAGCTTTATTGTTTCCCAAACAGTCAGTCATACAGGGGCAGGACAGCGAGAAGCATCTATGACGTGATGAGGTCTGTGCTGACTGAAGGGCACTGGCCCCTTTACTGGCCCCGCTCAGCAGGCTGTCCATGATGAGATGGATTGCACACACCAAAGAAACAAAGCTGAGGAGGGCTGAAAGAGACAAGGTTGTATGGATATCACAATCAATTTACCAGATGTGAGACCTGACTGGACAAAACAATGCTGAAAATATGTACGGAAAACAAAACAAAAAAAAACAGAAAGAAAGAAAAACTCAAGTGTGATCTGAAGAGAAACATTTAAGTTTTAAAACAAAGTGAGAGACACAAAGCAGAAGAGTAGAGGAATGGCCAGAAAGGGCTAAGAGTGAGCTAAAGTCAGCGCGGCAGTAATTCTGTCAGTGCCATAGTGATGTTAATGCAGGACCATGAAAGGCATTCAGCGGGGTGCAGGGATGTCAACTTCAGCTCTCCTGCAGCACCAAACACAAGCCTACAATGAGAGATTCACACAGAGTGCCAAAGGCTGGTACCCATGAGAGAGGAACTCTTGCAACAAAGTTTAAAAAACATGGTGGTTTGGTTGGCTTATGTAATGCCACAACAACATGTTCTTCTTTGTCCTGCAGTGTCACTACAACCTGCAGAGCGGGTGTGTGCTGTGCTTCTTTCCCAAGATGTGTGTGCTGTGTTTTGCTGTCTAGCTGCAGCATGTCAGAGAATGCAGCCCCGATAACATGTTTCACATATTTGTCCCTGGGGCCAGAAAATGGCTTCACTCAACACCCATCTTACACACCCAACCACATATTGCACCCTGGTTTTCATATTTATGCACCCTAGCAAGAACAAGCCCGTCGGCGAAGTGTGTAGAAGTTAGCTTGAAGCATTAAAGTTAGTCTGAAGTGAGTTAAAATAATAATGCAGCTTAAGAGAAATTTGAGATAGATATATTAGTTGTTTTAGTTCATTTAGAAGTGAAATTGTTATTACAAGTTATTATTTTACCGCATGAAATTGAGTTTTCACGACAAACGCAGTTAGCAAAAAGAGCACAAACTGAAGCAGGTTAAACAACAAAGGTTCAACACTATCAAAAGTTAATCACTTACCTGCTCGCTGACACGCCCAAGACCGCGAAGACTTCCATTAAAATTACTCCAAACACCTGTTTAAACGTTATTTCTGAACCACCACCTCTTCATTAACTAACATGTAGTAAGAAAAACAACTAATAGTATTTATAAGAGTGAAACAAACCTCTCATACACACACACACACACACACACACACACACACACACATACAGACGTAGCCAACGTGCGTCAACGAGATGAGAAACTTTGATTCGCGCTGAAATGTTCTTTAAAAAGCTGCAGGTTCGCCTCTTAAGAAAGCCAGAACCAGGCTCAGCAGCCTGTCTGCCTCTGTGCCGGTCCTCTCAGAGTCACAGCGGTCATCCGTTGTTGTAAGAGAGGCTCTGAGCGCACACATCCCGCGGTGAACGGGCTCTGAATGGCTGCTGCTGCTCCGGTTGGACCCGCAGATCTTTTTTTTTTTTTTTTACCACCTTCAAACTGTCGCTGTGGCTGCGAAGACGCTGATCTGTGACCGGGTTATGGTTTTATTGATCTCATGTTCTTTTATATGTCGGTGGAGGCCACAGCTGATTCATGATGGGTGAGGTAAGAGATACAAGCAGCTGGAGGGTGTTTATGGTAAGGGTTTTTTTTTTTTTTAAAACATGTTCAAACAGAAGTGATGGGCTGACGTTACCTAGTGGTGTGTTCTGGGAGTTGTCTGTCCTGCATGGGGTCTTACACAGGGGCGGATCTAGAGCCAACCCAGTTTGGTGTCAAATGCTGTCAGGTATAACACATTTATTATACAATTAAAAGCGGTTATAGAAACATTTTAGACTAAGTGGCTCAGGTTCAATGAAAAAAGTTTGTGTGAAGATTTGGAAATAAAACAATTTATTGATTTCTAATGCCACCTTTAGATATGTATATTCAATGTTTTACTAATGTGCCACAGTAATGTAATGTTTTTGAGATGAAAGATCTTTATTTTGGGGCTTTTCCAAGGAAATATTGATATAAGTTATGTGATTGTTTGCCAATTGCAATTAAATGAGTATTGTTTTTCTGCCACCCCCTCTGGCCACCCTGGTCTTAGAAATGGAAGTGGTGTAATGTAAGTAAGTAGCCTATAACTAAAATTTCAACACCAACAATATCAGCAAAAAATAAAAAAATAAATCATGAGCTCCATAAAAGTATTTATTACAAATAAATAGTGATTAAATGAGATTACACGTTTTCACCTGCTGTGTCCCTCCTCTACAGCTTTGACAGACCACATCAGACACTTCTGGGCTCTGTAGTCCCTACATTATTGACATGTTTACTGTTTGTTTGTTTTTTTTATTCATCATAAATCAAGAGAAAAGAAAAAGAGTGGATACACACATGAAAAATTAAAATGTGGATCAGCCCGTCCCCATGTGAAAAATATGATGGTAATTTTGCAGATCAACAAAAAGAAATTTGTATTGGCACTGATATTTTAAGTTTACACTAATAGTTTGAAACAATAGCAGAAACAGCTGATTTCCAACATAAATGTATTTACTGAGACCATGAAGATTATCTAGACTGAAGGAATAAGGAAAAATACACTCATGTCCATGTTAAACTGTATATAAAAACTGTAAAGAATTGTATCTTTTCTTCTGTCTTTCTGTGCTAAACATTATTAACTGTAAGACTTGGTTATTATTAAAAAACAGGACAGATTGTGCAGCATCCTCTCTACTCATCCACTCATAGTACTGATTAGTTCCAACATTATATAATCTCATTAAATTTCATCCATCATCAATCAGTGACCGGGTCAAACCCGCCGGACAAAAAATAAACAAATAAATGGCGCACGTTTGAGAAAGCACAAGCTATCAATTCACAACGAGGACAAATCACATCCATGCAAAACAATTTAATGGCCTTGATATCTAAGAAACACTATTCTTTCTTTTGACAACACATCATGTACAAACATACAAGAAACTGTTCATCATAAGAAGACACTTGATCACAGTTTGTCACTAGAACTCAGACACTTCAAACCTGCAAGGACCGGCCAATGGACAGACATGTCATAAAATACTTGTTGTTATTCAGATCTGTAATAAATTATGATTTCGTTATTAAAGGTAGAGAGGTAGGGTGTGGTGTAATACTGGGATAAATCCAAAAGCCAGGTTCAGTCTGTAACATAAAAGGGTTGGTCCATGCCGAGTGTTTGCTAACACCCAAAGTACTTGTGTTAACACCCAAAGACAGTGTGCTGCTAATGTGTCTGTCCCTTTTAGTTGACAGCCATTCCACTAGAGGGCAGCCTCACATATGAATACAGTAGATTGATTTTCTTGAAGAGGAACAGAAATCACCTGGAGTTTCCAGGCAGGTCTGAGCACTGGTGAGTCATAGCACCATACAGTAGCACGTACACAGTAGCAGAGAATAAGGAGACATTTTAAAATAAGCACCGACAGTACAGTTAAAGTTGAGGCATAAACAGTGTCATTGAATCAACAATACATTAATGGTTGCTCATCAATCACAAATAGCACTCAAGAGCAGCAGGCAGAGATTGTGCAGTTTTCATTGTCTGGCCAGCTCACGACATTCTTTTGTTGTTTCAGTCATTGTACGTGGAAATGAGTTGAATGAGGAGAATTGCTGAGCTGAAACCTGAGCTTATTTCACTTTCATAGCAGTTGAAGCGACTCAGGTCTCAGGTCAGAGTTTGTCACTTCGGCGTTGTTCTCAGCAGTCTGTGGTTTGTTTGTTTGTTCTTGGTCTCCAGTGTTGCAGCAGCAGCAACATCAGCAGCTCAGACAGAGGCTCAGAAAATATCAGGCTCAGTTGGTGGTCTAGCACGTGTCAGTGCGTCTCCGATAGATCTTAGCTGCCAGTCACATTGATTCAGTGTTTTTGTAGACTTTACTCTTTAGGAAAATCATTATTTGTAGCATTATTTTCTGCTCAGAGGCAGTTTGTAAACAGCTTTATGCAAGTGGACAAAGCACTAGTGCATTGTTACCCCAACAAAGGCAGGTTTTATGAACCGAATCCAGTGTTTACCAGCCAGTCTTGCTCTTAAGGAGCTTACCAGAGTCCATTTACAACCATGTAGCAAAGACCAAAAGAATGAAACTCAGAGAATTTTGAATCTCCTTACGAGAAAGTGGCGGTATTTGTAGTCCCTTGTCTTCCACCTAGAAGGCACGGGATGAATACATAGCTGCGGTGAGAAGGGGTTTGGCACTGAAGATTGAGTATGTTGTGATAGGAGGTTGTTCCTCATGAGTAAGTCACTCCTGACTGGCTCTTCTTTTCTCCAGCTTCATTTTGAGCTCCTCATTGAGTGCTGTGAAGAGACAGAAGAAATAAACTGGGTCTGTCCCAAAAACTTAAGTGCGTGTTTACATGCCATAAGGTAGTAGATAAGTACATCCTATTTTGGAAAAATACCAACACACAGTCCACTGAACCCACACTTGATGCGCACTGTAAAGCCAAGTATATCACACATTCAGTATCATCTGTACCCAAAGGTACATGTATCAGAAAAGTGCCATGTGAGGTATGAAAAAGAGTACTTAAGGTGATAACTGTGGACCTTTGTTTCATTTTAAAGGTACAAAATCATGGCTGACAGAAAGGGGTAATAATTGTACTTTTTCGCCAGTTTAAGGTCCAGGAAACATGTTACAGCAAATCAGTGATCACAAAATCTTGATTTAAAAAGGTTCAGGTCTTGGGCAAGACGCCCTTCTTCAGCATTTATTGGCAAGTTCACAATGGATCTATTTGAGTGATTTTGTTCATTTAATCAAGTAGTTAATTATCAGTGTAGGAGAGTGAAATGCTTTCACTACCATTACTCCCAATTTAATTTAATTTAAGTATTATCACTGTTTTATTGTCAATCTGTTTTCTTATTCTTTGCATACCTCCATGGGGACTCGTTCTTCTGTATTTATTTAACTTTATTTTATGCTTTGGCCCTCCCTTATGGAGCCCCTGAGGATTTGGGTAGTGCAACCCGTTTTCACTCTGCAGTAAACTGTGGCATGTGCCCTTGGCAAGTGCACTTGTAGTCGGCACTGCTGAGGCTTACAGAGATTAAAACTTGATTTATGCCGTTACAGCATTCACTTGTTATTGGCAAATCTGTTGTAGCTGAACAATACAATGAAAAGGTACTAAAAAGTGTTAAAAGATGTAAACTAACTGTTATTTCTTTAAATAAATTTTGGTGAATAATTATAAATGGGCAGCCTAAAGGTTAAAGAAGCAAGCCTGCGATTGGAGGGTTTTCGGTTAGTCCCGGGAACTGAGAGGATAAATCTGGGTGGGAAAAGTGAAGAAGCAGCGCTTCCGATTACCACCACTGTGTAACCGTGTAAATGTGATCAGGGCGTTCCTGCAAAAGAGTCTGTACCACGTTCAAAGGTACAGTGCTTGTAACCTGCTAGGGAACAGCTGGAGCGACAAACCATATGTGTATAGTTTTGTGTTTTAGCACCAACATTAATCGGTGGTGGATTCATTGTGAATATTATTATTATTCATGTCCCAGTGTGCTCCGATAAACATCCACATGCTTAACAGGCACTTGTGCACTGTGGCAATTACTGAAAATATCTCGCACAAATAGGCACTTGACAATTACCACAAGTGTGGGTATTGGGATAGACCCATCCAGCTGAAACTGGTAATAAAGCAGAAGCGGAGAGATCTGCGTTGTCTACTCACTCTGTGCGAGAGGTGAAGGGGAGAGGATGAGCCGCCTCATCGGGTTGGTGGGTGAGGCTGGCACTGGTGAGGTCAGGATACGGCGGTCGGGGGCGGGAGACCTGGAGAGGGGGCTGCTGGGCCAACGATCTGCACCAGAATGAAAGCTGGGATCATTATCACTGTCTGCCTGCGACTGTCTGCATGGGGTATATGTGACTGAGACAAACCTTGTTTTGGAGGCAGGGCGGGAGCCTTTGGTAGGGGGCTGGAGGGGGCTGTGTGGAGGATCCTTTCTCCATTCTCATCATTGGCGGAAACATATGCTGATGACACAAATGGAGTTTAGTCTCTTGGCAAGAAAACGCACAAAAGAAGAATTTTTAGAATGTGTGTGTGCTGCACGGTCGGCTCACTGATATTTTCTTCGTAAGGCTCCTCCAGTAGAAAAGGCTGTAGAGTTCCTGCTGTCTTCTCTACCAGGGCGTCGATGACCTCGTGAAGGTCAGCACAGGGAATCTGGAAGAGAAAACCTGCTGCATTACATGACAAAAGCCACCATCTCAAAGTATTACTTTAATTAATGTTTACAAAATCCTCCGTGTGCTGAGTTGTTGCCATGTCCCAAAACATCCTAAAAAATTATCAAAATTGAAAAAGGCTTAAAAAAAATACATGAATATATGTGAAGATGCAGCTATATTTACATTTGAGTTGTTGTCAATTCAGAGACTGTTTTGATCTGAGAACAAGCAAGACGGCGAGCTATTTGGAGATATACCGCATCAAATATTTGAATTCCCACAAATATGTATTATTTATCTTGTGACAGGGCGACGTTGATCCAATATGCCGTTTTTTTTATCTGTGACAATATTATTAAGCAGATCAGGTTTCTTTAACA